CCGTTTGTAAGTTAACCCCCCATTTATGTTTCTATTTACTGGACTAAAGTGTGTCCCTTATGTTATGTGTGTGTTTCTAAGGTTATGTGCTTAATATGTACCATAAATATTTGTGAGTAAAGTGGTGCATGGATTTTATAACTGTTATTTTCCTAGAGACTGTTGTATTTAACCACAACGGGCTCTGTGGCTAGTATTGTAATAACACAAATTTAAAGTAAACTCAAAGTATGAATAAACTCAGACAACATTAAAGCGTTTTGCTTTCAATTAAGATAAACATGTTGAAGATAATCCGTCTCATATATTGTCTAGTCATGACTTAAAACAAATAAGACAGCTTTATTACCGTTCAACAGTAATCGGACTCATAAACGTAATACTAATTACTAAAACGAGACTTTTTTACATCAGTGCTCTCATTTACACCTCTTATAAAACATTAAAATGTTGACCTACGAGGTGCGTATAGTTATGACTTATACATTTACAAACTAAACTATACAGTTGCCAAGCCAAAAACAGTCGCCTCAGAAGGAGTAAGCTAGATCGAATTGTTTGAAAAAGGAGGACGGAACAGGTTGTAGTTTAGTGTTCAAATGACGTTTTCATTTAATGAAATTATTTTAGTAAAAATTAAATCGTACAGTTTGAAATCCACTTAGTCTGCAGATTTTCATTGTAATAATAATTTATGTATATTATGTGGTGTTTACTTATCTTTATCTAGCACTATTTTGCGATTATGTTCTTAGTTTATAAATGCACAATGTTAAAATGGGCTAAAAATAATGTTATAAAAAGTTCTCATAACTTTAGAATGGGTCAAGATTTTTTAAAACGAATTGCAGCATCGTATTCAGCATAAAAAAGTAGTTTAAAACGATGGGTCACAACCCTACCTTTACATTTGAAAAAAAAACTTTGTATCCAATATGGCGGATCCAAGATGACGGCCAAAAATGTATACCCAGTCAAAATGAAGTACTTACTACTCTACAATGATCTGACGTGGTCCGGAGTTGATATCTTAAGAAATGTAGAAAAAGTAGGGGGGAACTCATTTAAAACTCACTCTGTATAGTAATTATGAAAGGAATGTTGGAAATACTTTTGAACAGAGGTGGAAGCAAGATAAGGCCAATGCCACTAACCAGTACGGTAACCATTAGGTCCGCAAATAACATAAACCATAAAGCAATAACTGCAAAACCATTCTTTATTCTTCCAGGATTAGGCCTTCATAGGCCATGTAATCTTCTAAAGTTAAGTCAATAAATCGACCTTGTTGCACTATTTCCTTAAGTTATCAAATAATTTATGGTATTGAATTTATGTTTGTAAAATAAATAAAAAAGTATTAGATTAATATACACATTAGATATGAATTATTGGTTCCATGTCTTTGTAAAAATTATACAATACAAAATTGTAGAAATTATGCCTAAACAGTACAAAAGCTTTTTACTGCAGCAAGGAAAAAAGATATATAAGGAATGATAAACTTATAAAACTAAAAAACTTACTACAGTTAACAGAACACAAGTACTTACTCTCAAACAAAGGTCGAAGATAAACAAACTTATGTTAAAATGAAAAGAGCATACGATCTGAACCACATATTCTGATATCCTCCTAGCCCAACTCAATCTGTAGTTGAAAATTCTTTGCTCTTTGGTCAAATTCTTCCCAGGAAAGGGTCTCATGATGCTGTTTATGAGAGGGAAAGCCTCATCGGCCACTACAACCATTGGAAGTTCAGTGTTTGTACCTGGGAAGACACTTTTTCTCTAGGTTATTTAGTTCATTTTGGAGCATTTTTTCCCCGAAATTGGATTTCGAAAATATACCCCTGTCTGCGTTTCTTCCGTAGCTCCACACGTCTACAAAAATAAAATTGTAGCACGGATCAGCTAGTGCAAGAAGAACAATGAAGTGAGTTTTATTTTAGTTCCAGTAAAGACTTTCCGACGACTTTGGGGCTTGTATCTTCACGTGTTTACCATCCATTGCACCGATTAAATTGGGAAACTGTCACCTTTCCCAAAATTCGGCTGCTATTTCATTCCACTTGTCCTCATCGGGAACTGGCATAACTTTGTTCAAAAGAACATCTACAACTGCTTGGCTCGTATGATGAACGATGGAAGCAACTGTACTTCTTCTCAACCTGTAGCTGAAGGATAGTCTTAATTGTATCTCATGTAGCAGAAAACCTGGAAGGAATACAGTATATTAATGATACAATATTAATCACAATAAATTGAGTACTGCAATGTATTTTTAATCATAACTACTATTATCGTGCAATTTTTTCAGGTCAAGAGGAAGAGTGCAAAAAAATTGAATGGTATTCAAGACAGCCTTCGCAGATCTCGACAAAAAAGTAAAACAAAATCTGGTCAGGCAGGTACATCAACAACCAAATACCAGTACGAGTCCATGCTCGAATTCTTTATTCCTTTCATAAGTGACCGGAAAACTTTAAGTAACGTCCTAGATGAAGAGGGCGATTTTTCTAGAACTAATGACGATTCACAACTGCTGAATTTCCCCCAGGACATGCAGGAAACACAACAAACACTATATGGTGGCTGCGCAGATGAACCCGAGACCCAAGAACCCTTACAAGCACCACCACCCACAACTCCAGCCAGTCGAGCTTCAATTGGAAAGAAGTGTTCACTTGCTGCTAGTAAAAGGAACCACCCGAACATGGAAGTAAAATCTCAAGAGTCTGCGTCATCTTAGCTGATGGCATACATATTGGCTGAGAAAGAAGCCGAAAACCCCAGTCAACAATCTGCTGAAAAACATCCTGTTAATGAGGAATCGCTCCATCTCTCAAATCTCTCGATCCCGCTCTCCAAATTGCCGCGAAAGTGAAGATTTTAAATATAGTACAAGAGTGCGAACTGGAGCAGCATCTTATCGACAGAGAACGTAGAACCACCTTCGCCTATTATTTGTCATCAGACGAGGCTCAACACTTTCGCACGTAGGTGGACCGTGGATAGAGAGGAATTTGTATCCAAACCAGGTTCCCACTGTGGCCAACCAACCAAACATATCCAGAAGAACAAGACAAAAATCCTCTTTATTCTATTACAGACATTTATAAATATAAAAACCTTTGTAAGATTTCTTAGTTTACATCCATTACCTATATAACTTTCAAGGCAAGTTTACATCTATTTTGTAACTTTCAAGACAAAAATTAAATTGTTTCACGTTTTCTCTTTCTTTTTACAACAAGACAGCAATCGTGTATATTCTATTACAGCCATTTATTGATATACAAATCTTTGTAAGATTTCTTAGTTTATTGTATAGCTTTCTAAACAAGTTTACTTCTATTATATAACTTTCAAGGCAAAAAAATTTCATGTTTTCCTTCAATGTTTAATTGTTGTGTGACCTTCAATTTTGGATTTTAAAACCACCTTCATTCTTAAGGTTTAAGATAAATATATGCCGATGCTTGATGTGAAATCTGTGCGTGCATACCTTCAATTTGAGACCTCGATCATGAAAATTGGACCGGCGGGTAGAAGAGCCAAACGAACTCGAGAGAGAAAACCCAAAGTGTTTTAATATATACGATGGGCACTTAGCTAAACCACCTAACTTACCTAAAAAAACAAAAAAACAGCCAAACGCTGTGTAGGACTTATCGGTTGTCTGAAGTGTGTTGCTTGGTTATTTATTATTTTTCTCTAAGTTCGAGCTCCAACTGGTAGAACGTTGACTTCGACATTCGAAAATATTGGTACAATTTCGTCTCGTCGTCCAACAGAATGAAGCCAAATTCTCCGTTTTCCACTGCCCTATATAGAGATGTCTGACTTTCTTCCTCTTCATCTAGACAAACCACCATCATGGCTAAATCCCGAAGTCCAAAGTTTTTGAACATGTTTATCACCTTCTGCACGTAGCTTACAAATCAGACTGGCGAGTGCTCATCGACCCGCACCCGGTGGAGGAAATCGGAGATGGGTCGGAAGCGTGTATGACATGTGCTCACCCCCTCCGACCCCTCTGGAATCCCGCAAATCGGATCGTAGTAGAATCGGAAGGGTGTATGACAAGTGTGTCCCCAACTTTCCCCGACAAGCGTTGGAACGCATTTCATTGACTATATACTACTTAGTATACATATGCTAAGTATACATAATCAATGCTCTTGTTATCTTTCGTTCGTTAAATCAGGACTAACAGACAATGTGTTGTGACAATCGATCGGTCGATAAGCTTAATATTTAACCGATACCCTCGGCGCTGTTCGTACCGTGTGTTGTAGGCCTATGTTGTATTGTATTAGCAGAGGCTATTCGCACGTCAGACGTGCCCCGCTACCGTGCAAGTCTGTTCCAAATCCAAATGACGCCACATTACCATAGATAAAACGTGTTAATTAGTCTATGACATTACGTTCCTAATCCAACTACTTTTATAACTGTTTGGGAACAGGTTGCACATAAAGAAAACCTAGTATTATGAACGTTAGTACCTCTTAACCTCATTAGCCGAGATAGATGGAATCAACTTCACGTTATCTGCCCGCAACTATAATATTGATTCTAATCTTATCTAAACAAAACAACGGCCAACCAAACTTGATGTAACATTTCAAAAATTCCTTTTGATAGCAGAAATGGCTTTCGCGCTCTATCGGCCGTTCTTGTTCTTAGAACGTCCAATCCTTAACTGAATATGTTCGTCTTTTTTTATAAATTCTTTAACGCTTCAAAATAGCAAAATTTTAAAGGAACCTCCATCTTTACCGAAATTAATTTGAGTGAGTACTGACTACTGGGAAAGTAATTCAAAAATGGCTACCAGAAGTAACTAACTACAGTATTCCCCTTGCATTACTGTTTTGCAATACTGGAACACTGGAACGGGAACGGGCTGTGACGTCATTTTGACGTGCGAATAGTCACTTCGTATTGAGTTGCGCGCTGAGTATTGTAGGTGGTGTTTGTACTTTGTAGTGTGTTGGACTGTTGGTCGATATCGTCTGTACTGTAGAGAAGAGAGACGTCATTTTACACATCACGAAACCGAGATTTCAAACTGCGCGCGCAATGAATGAGGCACCAGTTTCTTGTTTACCAACTAATACAAAGATGACGAGGGCTAAGAAAGTGATAGAAGAAGCGAAAGAAATTCAAAATCCAGAATTGGATTTAGCTGACAAAGGGATTTCTACTTTTGAAGAAATGCCTGGGCTCTGTGAGTACCTGATATCCTAGAAGTACAGTTTGCATGACCAAATTTGGTAACTTGTTTTGGCATCTCAATGCCTCCTATGACCACAAGCAGACATTTTGGGCGGGGTTGATTCTAAAATGTTGACAAAAGTATGGAATTGTTTTTCATGATATCTACTTCGATTCCTCTAAATTAAATGGATTATATACTAGGACCACTCTATTTTCCTTTTCCTAGTCAAATAACTCACTTGTAACATTAGGCTTTTTTAGGCCTACACTAAGGTATCATCAAATTAGGTTATGCACCCAAATCCATTGATTTCAAAATGAATTAGTAGGTTAGCCTACAAAGAAAGATCGTTGATCAAAGTTTGTAGAACAATTTTCTTCTCTTTTTCATGAGGTTTTAAAATCAACAAATTTAATAGGCTATAAGTTGCTGTAACTGGCTACAGACAAAACATATATCTATATATGTTTTGTGTTTAAATGTTTTTAATGTAAATAAGACGCAATCTATCCAACTTTGTTGGTCAAAGATGAAGTAATCAAGTATCAAGTAAGTTACCTAGTTGGGATCAACAAATGATGGGACAAACAAAACTATCAACAAATAAGTTTAGGCTAGATGGGGAGTTTTTTAGTTATAGGTCTAAATATCTGAACCAATGTCCCTTACTGTAGACAGTGTCACAGGCTGCTTTACGATTGCTGAAGGCTACTTTGAACCCCTTTGTGACATCCCTTCAATGATGGATGATAGGCTACAACAAAAACCTGGTCACAGTAGTTAGGCCCAATTTACAACCGGGCTTGAAACCCCCTTCTTCAGGATCAAGGATGGGTGACGATGTTGCAATAATCTCTCCAGTAGCCATTAGCAAAGACTGAAAGGAATAGAAACCAATAAACTTAGGCCTTTACCGTTCATTATTTGAAAAAAAAAAACATGTAAAACTGCCAAATGATGCTATGCGAAGCTTTCCAAGAATATAGGCTTATGGACCATTGAAAATCAGAAGCCAGTAACTTATATTGGTTATTAAGAGTAGGTACCGTTAGCGTAACTTCCTAACATTCGCTTAAAACTATTAGGCTTACAGGGTGTGCAGTAACTTAGTCGGTGTCAAAGATTTTAAGGCACTAAGTTTATGCATGCAAATTACGATATAAATACACAATTATAATATTTATATCCGGGGTCTCAGCTTACAAATGACTGGCTATACACTACGGTTGCAAGACCGATGATGGTGTATGGCTTGATAGTCTGGTGGACCAAGGTGATGCAAACTACGACTGTAAAGAGACTATAAAAGATCCAGCGAGTGGCCTGCCTTAGCATCACAGGACCCATGATTGAGGCACTCCAACCGCAGCCCTGGAAGTAGTAGGTACTAAACCTCCCACCTCTCAACACCATTGTGAAAGGGAAGGCAAGGATAGCAGCCTTGACAGAATAGGTTGCAGTGGCAACTGGAAGTAGGTATAATGCTTTCAGTGAGCATCCAAAGTGGTGGGGGTTTCAATATTCCATTGTGTTTGCAAATGTTTTTATAATTTAGATGCTGCATTTATCATTAACTTGATAGGCCTACTTATTAGTCATATTTTTTGTTGCAGTTAATATGCTGAATATCACCAGGCTTACACTAAGTCATAATAAAATCCGAGGTGAGTTAATTACGATCTTTTAGTCAAACAACTAGCCCTATATGAAAAAAACTTGCTAAATACAGACAGATCTGTCAGAAGGGCATTATCAACAGCCCCTCTAGGCCTATTTCAAACATTTTAATAACAAATTATCAGTAACTTGATCAATTTTGTATTTACAGTGTTTTACAATTTAATCTAGGAGGGTACCCCCTAATTGTATCCCACTCCCATTGTAACTACTATGCACAAACTACTATAGACTCATGTCATGTTTCTAACTAGCATTGCTTTCATATACGTCACTTTAGACCCTTTCTAGCCCTTTACTGGGTGAAGCAAGCGGAGGAAGTGAGGGGAACTTTCAGAAAATACTTACCTAATTACATACAGTAGAGTCCCGCAAACTCGGCGTAATGTGGACTGGAAGGGTGCCGAGTTTGTGAAATGCCGGGTTATCGGGAACTAGGGTTAAAAATAAGAAAAATACAATTTTTATTCCTTTTAGCCGCCTTATTTATTTATATTTATAATACAAGTCAGTATTAAGTAATCAGATATAGTACAAAAAATTCTTGGTACGAGTTGCGAATGATTTGACTTGAGCCCATGTTTAACTCGGACTCAAAAAATCACTAATTTTCTGAGCCAGGTGATGGCCGAGTTATCCAGACTGCCGGGTTATCGAGTGCCGAGTTTGCGGGACTCTACTGTACTAACACCACACCAAAAATCAGCTAGTTGTAGTATAGATATAATACAAAATACAACTATTTCATTTATTTAACTTATCAGTTTCGCTCAGAACTATCAAAGACTTGCCAGCTATTAGAGAATTGCACAAATAGTGGTCACTGGTCACCATACCTGATGAGGTTCGTTTTCTTAAATGTTGTACATTTAACATAACTACGAAAAACATTGTTTTCAAGCAAGTGTTCTACATTCAACTATCTCAAAACATTGCCAGAAGTAGTTGTTCGTGCGTTTCGGGCGTTTATTGCTCGTCTTCATTTTGTACAAATATCAGGCAGTTTTTAGAGAATGCATTCTGAAATTTTCCTTAATATGGCACTCTTATCCGAATTAGGTATTTTCTTATAAAACAAAAACACAAAAAATACTTTATCCTACTTAGGCGAAAATATACCCTAAGTCGTTGCCAACACAACGACAACCATTACAACAAGTGTGTTGCCAACACAATGATATCATCAAAATTATTTCAAAGTAAATAATAAGAAAGCATGTTCATAATAGCCTATTTATAGAAAAATATTGATTTGAGAATACAAAGTTATTTAAAACTGCAGAATCATGTAGTTGTTTTAATTCCCAAGTACCGGAGGACCGAGCCATGCTCGGTATAAGGTCTAATTGATTTTGATTGAAATAGCAATGTAAAGGGAACTCAAGTCTTATTTACAACTAATTTTGGACCTAACTATTTAAGTTCCAGTAGAATTTCAATTTATTATGATGAAAAATTTAACCTGGCAATCCACAACACATTACTTTATTTTACAGTTGATGGTAAAAATCACTCATATAGGGAAACTATTTTCCCATAGCATTTTAGTAGCCTATTGCAGATACTTTAATCTAACTACCACAAACGGTTCCCACACTCTGCACCCTTAGCCTTTACTACTTCCTTCACCACTTCCTACATCGTGGACCTGTTTCCCTCCCTTCCCATAGTATTTTAGTATTTTAGATACAATTATCTAACTGCCCCAAAGGGTTCCCACACTCTGCACCCTTAGCCTTTACTACTTCCTTCACCACTTCCTACGTCTTAGACCTGTTTCCCTCCCATCCCATAGCATTTTAGTATTTTAGATACATTTATCTAACAGCCACAGACCATTTCCACACTCCACACTGCTAGCCTTTCCTACTTCATTCACCACTTCCTATGTCGTGGCCCTGTTTCCCTCCCTTCCCATAGCATTTTAGTATTTTAGACAAATTAATCTAACTGCCACAGACGGTTCCCACACTCCGCACTGCACACCTTTACTACTTCTTTCACAATTTCCTATGTCGTGGACCTGTTTCCCTCCCTTCCCATAGCATTTTAGATACAATTATCTAACTGCCACAGACGGTTCCCACACTCCGCACTTCTCGCCTTTACTACTTCCTCCACCACTTACATTGAAGACCTGTTAATGTTTGCCATTTAAATGAGATGGATCCATGAATGTGATTCACCGACAAATTGTTTAAGATACATTTTTTTATAACCTTATTTCGCTTGGTAAATCAAATCTGTAAAAACTTTACCTATTCGATCAGTGGTCGTTTCCAAATTGCGACTTAAATGTAAAATTAAGACTTTCTCTCTATTATTTGATCAGTGGTCATCATCCAATTTTTTTCCCTACATCTACGTCATTATTTTGTACCTAACCATCATGGCATAAGGCCAATGTTAAAATTTAAAAACTTCGAGTTACCTACTTTTTAATTATATAGGCATTATCAAAAGTTGAAATTGGTTTTGTCTAAACCTTCCAAACATTTGACAAAACAAACAAAAATTTTTAGTTTGTAAGTTTGGCTAAAATATGTTCAGCCGTTATTGAGTTAATGTGTTTACATTAACGTTAAGTTTACATTGAAGTAGATCCCAAAGAGCTTTGCTTCGCTCCGCTCAAAAAACAATATTTTGTTCATAAGTTGTGGGTATGACATTGCTTGCTTTAAATTTTTTTTACCTTTTCATTCTTATATTTTATTTCAAAAACCAATTAATTATTACTTCTTCATTCTTTCAGAATCTTTGTTTATACAATCTTTTAGTCCAACAAGTACATTGTACTTTTTTATACCTACTGAATATTAATTTCCCGCACATTGTATTTCTTGTGTACTTTGACGTTGCTAATAACGATTCTGATTCTTTAATATGTGTTTTATTTAGTTGTCCCTCCTGGTCTCGCTAATCTAGTCAACTTAGAAATACTGAATCTGTTCAACAATGTGATTGACGAGCTTCCAACTTCTCTCTCTTCCATGCCAAAGCTGAGAATCCTGAATGTTGGGTGAGTACAAGTTTTACCATGGATTATAGGCATCCCATTGCTATGATAGTGTAGTTAGTTAGAATGAACATGATTGTAGTTTAAGTGACCTATCAACAGATTGTGCTAGCTGATGCATATTACTGATTTCTGTTGTATCTGACCTATTACTCGAGCAAGACAAAGGACGGAGTTTAAACTATAGCATATTTTATCTTAGTTTGTAAGTCTCTTGAGTTGTTAAAAAGGTTTACAAGATTAAATGTATGGTGTAAGTTTAGGCACTTTTACTAAATTATATTTTAAAGTTCTATGAAAACTATTGGTCTTGTTGACGTCCTCTCATTGAAGTCCATAAGACGTGTGGTTCATATAGTGACTTGTATATTGGTGCTTAGATTTTTTAATTAAATTTATGTGTAATGATTTGATGGTGATGTACGATAACATTGTTTGCTTACCTGTAAAACTGTATCTGGAACAGGTTGGCTGTTGGCAAGTAGTACTGTATATATCTGGTAGAATATGAGAGTTTCTCCGTCACACTTTGTTTGGTCGAAGAAGCCTTCTCGTAAGATTTGAAAATCATGTAGGCTAAATTAATAGGTTTTCGTCACTGACAGTACATGGCTGTTTCTTTAAAGGTAGGAGATACATTTTTTTAACATTAGGAATGCGACTCCGTGTACAGTCAGACAGGCCTAAGAAGGCACTTGTATTTGGTAGTAAAATGTTAATTTTGACAGAAAATAACGTTGTTCCAAGAACATTGAAATTGCCTTAGAATTGTGAACCACCTGAGCCGATTAGTGTTAGTTGAGTGGTCGAGTATAAGCAAGACCTAATGTTTGTTTAGATTGTTTCGAGAATAGTACAGTGTTTTCACCCAATCTGCTTTTGTTAGAGCCTTTATGCTGGAACAGGCATTTTTCATAGTTAGACATGTAACTATAAAGACAGCTTAAACTAGCTTGTAGAGGGTCCTAACCACACATTTGTACAGGAACTTGACCGATTTTAGTTTGGTAATTATAACAAAAAATTGTATTAGTCCTATACCATCAACATCACAATCGTAAGCTTAAAATGCTTAGTTTTTTTGCAGCAGTGGCGTGGTCTCAATTTATCTCTACCAAACATTTGAATAAGACTTGGTGAATGATTTACTTAAGTTTACACTTAATATTAATATAATATTAATCAATAGTTAATATTCCATTCCATTAGTTGTCAAGTTTAATAAAAAAATATAGATGACCTCATTAAATAGGAAAGAGTGTTTATATTTTATTGCAATACATGGAATTGGCCTGACCTTAAGACAACCATCAGTAATTATTGATTAATGAGCTGAAGGAATAAAACAAATTATATCACTTCCTTCTCCCACTTTTCTAAACAAAATGTTTAGTTTCAAACAAACCTATGTAACATGTGTATAAATGTATACATATAACAGTCAAAAAATTCCCAGAATTAATTTCTGTAGACATTTAGCGCTATCGCCCATGAGAAATTCGCTTTGCAGTAGTTAGTACGACTCCAGGGAAAGGCATATCAGTAGTAGAGGTATAGCTGACAAGCTGTAGTGCAGGGTTGGTTAGCGCTTTTCGTTACATGCAAGTCTACATTATCGGTTACTGTCGGTCGTGTACCTGCATTGCAAATTTGCATTTCATGAACAGTGTATGGAGAAGAGGCATCGAAGAAAAGTCAAGTTTATCAGTGTACCAAACGGTTTTGTGAAGGCCGTGAAAGCATTGACGATCACTCTGGTAGTGTACGTCCTTCAACAGCAGTCAATGACGTAAACATTGAGCGAGTATGACAAGCTTTGCGTGAAAATCGGAAATATTCAATCGATGAAATTGCATTTGAGGTACATTTATCTCATGAAAGTGTTCACACCTTCCTGTATGATCATTTGAACATGCATCGAATTTGTTCATGAATGGTTCCAAAAACGCTGTCTCCTGAGCACAAAGAAACTCAAATGTTAATTCCTAGTGAATTCATTGATATGGCTAATGCAGATCCATATTTTTTAAATTTAATTGTGACAGGTGATGAAATATGGTATTTTCTCCACGGCCCTCTTCCAAATTTGTGCCACTCAGTTTTTGGTACACGACCGACAGTAACCAACAAAGTAGATTTGCAGGTACACAAAAAGCGCTTACCAATGCTACACTACGGCTTGTAAGCTATACCCCCACTAACGATATGCCTTCCCCATAAGTCTAACTAACTACTGCAAGGCGAATTTCCCGCTGGCATTTGCTCTAAATGTCTACAGAAATTCATCCCGGGAAATATAAATAATTAACGTTTTCAATTCATATCAAATGAACTTTATTTTCCCACAGTCGTAATAATAATGTCAAAATACTAATCCTAAAACACACTTATTTGGTAAAGTAAAAGATCCGGACTTGTTCACATGAGGTATTACTGAACTTACAAATCATCATATTGATGTTATTTGGTCCAGGATCACTTCTTGAATATTAAAATGGTATAATATTACCTGTTTCCGCCTGTGATTCTATATTTGTTGTATAGAGCTCTATACAACAAATATAGGATTACAGATGGAAACAGATAATATTATACCATTTTAAAATTACAAATCATGTTTATTATACAATTTTCCTCATTCATAAATTTTAATTTTTCACACTGACATAATACTACAGATAAAATCATAAAAGAAAGTTTTATTATAAGTAGTCTAATATTCTAATTTGCAATAAATGGTTATAAACTAACGAAGCCATAACCTCTCAAAGAGTTATGAGTAGTAATTGTCCTTCCTTAAATAATGGGAACATATTACCGATTTTGACAGTTTTTTTTTCTATTGTTAAGTTAGTTTTGGGTAGTAATGGCGAAAAATGTTATACGTCACTCATCCAAAATGTGTTTACCGGACTCGTATGGTAATCCAATACTTGGTACTACCGTACTGATACAGCAAACACCCATTTTCCGGACTAGAAATGTAATATACAACTACACAATTACCGGTACTGCACTAACACTAATACATGAGTAGTGTTACCATATTTCAACATCGATAGCATATTTCGAGGATTTGAAGTTTGCACATTCTAATTATGTACTATTTTTTATTCAGAATGAATCGATTGGACTCTCTACCACGAGGGTTTGGTGCGTTCCCTGTCCTGGAAGTTCTAGATCTCACTTACAACAACTTGGATGAAAACAGTTTGCCTGGAAACTTCTTTATGCTGGGTAACAATTTTTGAAATTACTTATATTAGTTTAACGTTGAGTTTTTACCTGTTTGAGGGTTAATTTGTTATGCAGTAGGATATTATCTGGGAGTGGCACACTATGAAATCCCCTACAAAGATTGTATATACACTGTTTCTGAAAAGATTTAGAGTTTAAAACTCTCAAGACTTTACAATTGAAACATGTAAAATTGTGTCAATTATCTTCAGAATATCTTACTGGAAATCAATTTTTCCTAGTCCCTTATCAATGTATGTGAAAATACTACTTGTTAGTAAAAGAATACTATCAGCATCACAAAATATTCAATATCAACCTATTGAGAAATTGTTTAACTTGTTAAATTTGTATATTTTTTACCTAATATTTTATATCACATTTACACTTAATGTGCACTGTAACTTAAATAATTGTGGTATTTACAGAAACTTTACGGGCCCTTTACTTGGGGGACAATGATTTTGAAAAACTTCCCCCAGAAATTGGTCAATTGAAGAATCTACAAATTGTGAGTAGTTATGTATTAACAGCTAATTTAATTTCTATTCACTAAGCAGCATCAGTGGAATAAATTTTTGTCATTTAATTAGTTAAACCTCTAATTAAAAGGCGATAGTAATTAAATATCAGATTCAATTTTTTCTAAAATCTCAAGATTTGACTTTGACACACCACCACATACACTCTGCACCACTCACATAGAGTATTAGATGTACAAATGTCAACTCATGCCAGCAGGTTTGGCCATGTTTAACTATCATTGGCCCCTTTACTCCCCCTCCCCTTTACCCCTGCTTGTCAAGGTTGTGTGCTCTTGTGTCGTCTTTATATTTATTATCGCTGGAACTTTAAAACTTGTCATGGTGCGATGTTGATGGTGATTTCATGCTACATCGTCCTTTGTGATATTGATATCCATCATAGTTTTGTTTTTAATCCCAATTTGAACTTCAATACAGTAACTGTATTTGTGTTTTTCTTGTGTTCAGAGTATGCACTCAACTGTTAATGCGCTGTAAACTGCAACAACTGTGTCAAACCAAATAAAGATGGCTAATTCTGAACCTCGATTCCATATAACTTAAAATCAAATACACATCACATTTGTTGGAGATAATGTTAAAAATTAATTGCGAGGTGAAGCAAAGAGCGCTAAATGTAGTGGCTAATTCAGAGGTGGAGCTCTGGCACAAATTGGCAACTGCATTGACAGAGTCCCTTACACAAGTAGGAGTTAGGCCTCGGGTACAATACGAGCGGCGAGCGGCGACCTGAGCGGCACGTAAGCGGCGGTTGTGGCTACGATATTTATAACGCTCATCAAATTTCCCCAGTTTTATGACTCAGTTTAGTCGAAAATGGTAAACTATGCTTACCTTCAAGACGTATTGCAACTATTGTGTGCTATCTGACAATTGTTTGCCTTTAAAGAAAAACTTAGTTTTTAGAAAAACCTTAACCCTAACTTTGTCCCATACTTTTCTGGTGACTGATGTGTTTTAAAACTTCCGTGCTTGTCATTCCACAAACATTCCCTGGACTGCACCTCACGTATCGACCCGTATCGCATGTTTGCTGCTGTTTCACTGTCATTTTAGGTCGAACTGAAGCATGACTCACCTGAGCGGCAAGCAGCGTTTTTGCGAAAATCGGTTTTGACTTAGAACCATGAGTGGTGCTGAGCGGTGCCGCTTACCGCCACTCGCCGCTCAGACATATCGTGGCCACCCTCAACAAATTTACATGCAACTAAACGAGACCTGATGTCACAGCGGTGCCGCTCATGCCGCTTGCCGCTCGTATCGTATCCGGGGACTTAAAACATATTGTCATAGTGAAAATGAAAATACACATGGTTCATTTGACGGAACCGTGTCAAGTTGTCGCTATTTGTTTGATAAGTATTAGGCTTTATAGATGTATATATGTTGAAAATTATGAAATCACAATATCTATGTTTTCTAGTATCCTTTGGCATAGCTTTGTGTGTGTAACTATATGTTCAGGAAAGGAAAGAACTTTACATTACCTTATTATTTGCTTTGTTACAATCTTTGTTATATTTATTTGTTTATAACATGTCATCATTGTTTGAAGGTTAACTGTAAGAGGACCATAAGGCCCTAAGTTCGCAAAATAAAATAGCATTTTAATTAACTTTTTTTTCCTTTTCTTCCCCTTTTTCTGTCTCACAGGAACTTACTATGATCTTTTATCACACCTATAACCCTCCTGACACAACCTATTAAGTTCATTTTAATTTAATAGAGTAGTAAATTACTAACTGGACTGGCCCGACGATGACTCCTATGTGAGTCGAAACCGGTTACAATTTAGCAACACATTTGATCGCATGAATGCATGTATTTACAATTCTTTAGTAAATTACTAACATTTGATATTTATGATACAGTTGGTACTTCGAGAGAATGACTTGGTAGAGTTGCCAAAGGAGATCGGAGAACTTACTCGTCTGAGAGAGCTACACATTCAGGCTAACAGACTGACTGTTCTTCCTCCAGAAATCGGTTAGTACTTATTCACTCAAAACGTAATAAAATGAAAACAAGTCTTTAACACCAAGAACTTTTAACTGATGCTTGTAGTGGCAGTCCATTGTATATTGTCTATTGTGTTTGGAAAACAACCACTCAAACAGCTCATGTTTAGCTATTTAAGTGTTTCCATCAAGTTGGAATATGGTTAGAGCTCGTGCGTTTCTTGGTGAAGCCTGGTTATAGTGGCTCTTAAACGGTGTTGTAGGGGTGGAGGTACGCCGAAAATCAGTCTGCGCTCTCACCCTGTCCAAGCAACATCGCGGATACAGGCTTCCGGCTTTGGAGGTAATTGTTGTGTTGGCTACTCCGTTATCTGGTCGTTCAAGGTCAACCCAGTCAGCTGGTTATTGTTTCAGACGAGCCAATTTTCTACGAATATACGAAGATTTACAACAGGCTGACTGGTCAAATTTATATTCTATTTTGAACGTCGATGATGCTCTAGATTGTTTTTATAGCACACTTTATGAAATAATTGATAAAAACTGTCCATTAAAGAAAAATAAAAAAGCAAAATATCCCTTTTGGTTTACTCCTTCTATTATTTACAATTTAAAACGTAAAGAAAAACTTAGAAGAAGGTGGAAAAAAGTAAACACTGATGAAGCTTATAACTTATTTAAAGTCCAGAGAACAGCAGTAAAAAATGAAATTGATCTAGCATATCGCAATTATGTAAATGGAGTGGAAGATAGTATAAATGTTGATAGCAGTAAGTTTTGGAATTTTATTCAAAGTAAAAAATCTGAACGAAATAAAATTATGATAATGGAGCACAATGGAGTAAGGCTGGATAACGGAGGAGCGGTTGTAAATGCATTCGCGGAATATTTTAGTTCTGTGTACGAGAGTTACACTACAGAGACCTAGTGTGTACAGAGGTATGTGCGGTGGAGGGGCCGTGTCTGACCGGCGCGTCTTGCCTCACACTGCCTCGCCTCAGCTGTCAGGATGTGCAGGACGCCATCAAACATTTAAAATCAAAATGCACTACTGGTCCAGATTTACTCCCACAATATTTATTTAAAGGTTGTTCTGAATTTTTAGTTGGGCCTTTAGAATTTTTATACAATTTAAGCTTGAAAACTAATATATTTCCCGAAAGATGGAAAACAACCAAAGTAACTCCAATTTTTAAGAGTGGAAAAAAATCCAAAGTCTTAAATTATAGACCGGTAGCAGTGTTATCTGTACCGGCGAAGATATTTGAGATTATTATTCACAAATATTTATTCAGACATTTTCAAAAATACATTTCAAATGACCAGCATGGGTTTGTCCCAGGAAGATCAGTCAACACAAATTTATTAAATTTTACTAGTTACGTTTCCTCTGGTCTGGATTCTGGGGCTCAGACAGACACGTTATTTCTTGATCTGGCCAAAGCGTTTGATAAGGTTGACCATTCAATTTTGTTGCAGAAACTGCATTGGTATGGCATGTCAAATGATTTATTGCATTTTTTCAAATCTTACATTGTTAATAGGAAACAATTTGTTTTCTATCATGGATTTTCCTCTGCTGTATTCAATGTCCAATCTGGGGTTCCCCAGGGTTCGAATCTAGGGCCTTGTCTTTTTACAATACTAATTAATGATCTAAGTGACTGTATTTTAAATTCAAATTCACTTCTATTTGCCGATGATTTAAAAATGTTTAAGCATATCAATAGTCTTGATGATGCAAATAGCTTACAGGAAGATCTTGACAATGTTTATAGGTGGAGTGTTTCAAACAAAATGACTTTTAATGTTTCTAAATGTCAACTAATGACTTTTACTAGGACTACAAATTTTTTTACGAAATGACTATTTTTTAAATGGCATTTTAATTAGTAGAGTAAACAAAATTAAAGATTTAGGTGTTCACATGAATTCTGCACTATCTTTTAATTTTCATATTGAAACATGCATTGCTGCTGCAAGTAAAATGTTGGGGTTTATAATTAGACAAAGTACAAATTTTAGAAACATAGAAACATTAATTATGCTTTATCATTCGCTGGTCAGATCAAGATTAGAAACCTGTTCCATAATTTGGAATCCATATCATTTACAGTTTAAAGATGCTTTAGAGAAAGTCCAGAAAAAGTTTTTAAGATTCTTATTTTACAAATGTTTTAATATTTATACGTACGATGTTCCATACCATGATTTATTACAACTGTTTGGGCTGCAGAGTCTAGATCTGAGGAGAACGATCATAGGTCAGGTGTTCCTGTACAAACTGGCGCGTGGAGAGGTTGACGACGCTGCTGGCCTGGCCGGCCTGTCTTATCGCGTACCCTGCTTCAATAGTAGAAACAAACATCTCTTCTCGTTGCCCTACAGCCGCACCACTGCCCATGCCTCCTCCCCCCTCTATCGATTAATGAAAGACTACAATTACGTAATAAAAAAGTGCAATAATATTGATATTTTCTCTGACAACATAAACAATTTCAAATTGAAATTAAAAACAGTATTAATCAATCAGTAAATGTTAATTTATATATTTTTCGTTGTTCTATTTATTTTTACTACTCAGTATTTATATATTTATATAATTTATCATTGTTAATCTTTTTTAAATATATATACATTGTTGTTATAGTTATTGATAATTTTGTTTTTATGTTAGTATTAAATGCATGGCATGTAAGTGTAAGTAAAAATGAAGTGAAAAGACAAGAAGAAACCCACTGAAGCAATAATATTATAAGTGCATGAACTGCTTCAATGTAAATGGTCTTTAAACTGTATTGAAGCATGTAAATAAAATAAAAATAAAAAAATACACTCTTTTTAAAAAACATTCAGATGTCAGTTTGATTATCTTAAAACATAATCTGTTTTTTTTTTTGTATACAGGGGTGTGAAAGTAAATTTTTTTTAGGTATGTGTAAGTCATAGTTTTGTATAACAGTAATGCATTATTTAAGTACTTGTTTTTGCCTACAAAAAAATCTCTGGCTCATTAAAGAGTAATTTTTGGAGTATTCATTATTTCCTACATTAATATGATCACACAACTTGTGCGAGCAACCTGAACCGCCTCCGCACCGCGGTCCAAACTCCAAAAAATACCGAGAATGTCTTTAGTCAGACTAGTAGCAGAATAGGAAGACAACGTCAACTTCCCCTCTCGTGCTCGGCTCTCCACTTTCCTCTACAGCCCCTGACACTCACACCCAGGCTTCACAAAGAAACACACGAACTCTAGATTGTTAATTTTTAGTAAAAGACAAATGTAATCTGGAAGTTTAATCAAGAATCATGACGTGGGCAAAGTTGTCAGTACTAAAGCAGAGAAGATACACTCAATGATACACTTAAGTGGTGTCTAGCACCAGTCGCTGGTGTCTAGAGTAAATTCTATTCGCCGCCCCCTTCCGCTTTCCTTTCCCCCCCTCGCCATCACGTACCACAGCGCTCACGCTGTAGGAAGACCCTGTCTGCTACAACTGCTGTACAAAAATGCTATCACCGTTTGGGCTCTTCCTTGTGGTACAAGTACATTTCCGCCACTGCATACTAGAGCTAAAACCGAACGGTTGTTCCATAAGCTTATATCCTCTGTATTTTACTTCTCTGTGGCACTGATTAGAAAGCTAATACAGCTTGAGATTAGGTTAATAGATCATGCTGCTGGTTACCTTACTTGTTAGAAATGCGTTCACTCTACCATCTCACTTGATAGAAGCATATTCAGATGGTCTTTGACAAAGCAGCAAAAGTTGTTAGGTCACAAGGCAGATAAATAGGAAATTTGATTGCCAGAGTTGTCAAAGAAAAGCATCAGCTTGCCTTAGCAGTTAAATCTGCCACTCACACATACTGTTGTAATTCAGTGGCGATAGTATGCCCACAGGCAGGGCCGGTTCTAGGAATTTTTCAGAGTTAAGCGAACACCCGAATCAGCGCCACTTAGAATACCCCCCCCCCCAAACCCATGAACATAACTTAACCGTATTTGTGAATTTTTTCCCAATAATTTTGGGAAGAATTTTTTTTTATAAGTTTAGGTAGAAGAATACTAACTTGCAATAAAAGGCTGTTTATTTATTCGCAGAAATGTGACATTTATACACTTTTACTCATCATATAAACTATAGCAAAACCAAGGACACACTAAAAATACCCCCGACGCAGCAAACCTGCCGACTAAGCGAATTTCCATTTGTCTGAATTGATTTTCAGTTAAATATATTTTAATAACATTAGGTTTAACGAGTACCTAGGTTTGCTGCTACAAGGAAACTAATAAAGTGTGTTTTTGAGTAAAATATTGATAGCTTAGTACAAAATAAATAAATTTGCCAAGTTTGATCAAAATATATCCATAAACAAGCAAACTACAACATTTGACAATATTCTCCATAAGAATAACATGGGAATTTTAAATTTACAATTTTTTTAATTTTCTCCGTTACTAACAATCGAACAAAAATACTTTTACATACTAAATTATTTGTTTTTTTAAGCTCTTTAAAAAGGTCTAAAGAGAAATCGGGAAATTTTGTGTTTTGAGGGTCAAAAGTGAGAAAAACCAATTTTTACCCCATAAAACCCCTTGTAAAGCCCCGTTCCCATGGTCCGATCGTGCTGGTTCGCGAACTCATTCAAGCTTATCCCGCTTTACACCTTTAAACTAAATTTCATCAAAATCGGACAAAAATTACTCAAGTTATCGCGTTCACGGACGTATATATATATATATATATATACATATATAAAAATTTGAACGAATGGTGTTTTTGGCCTCTGGGGACATCAAAATGAAAAAGTAAATCGGTCCCGGGTCTAGGTCTTACCGTGCCACCTACGGTAATAGCTACTTCCCTATAGGGAAATTCGCTAAAAACAGGCCGTAATGTAATGCTCGTCAAGCATGACGTCACGATAGAAGACGGCAATGACGTAATGTTTGCCGTTTGTGATCAGCTGCTTGTTTTAATCTTTCCTTGGAAAATAAATAAAAATTACCTACGTCATTACCGTCTTCTATCGTGACTTCTTTGGGCTGACTGGACTCGCCACCAAATGATTTCTACAAAAGTCTACTCATTGATTTGGCTTTTTTTTCTTCCTCTTCCAAATTCGCCTTACGCTTTCTATGATATTCTTTTTTCTGCCATTGTTTTCATAGTTTCGACTCGCAATAATATGTTTTACTCATTCATTCAGTTTATACTTTCTTTTTATTTAATGCGCTAATTATAAATTAAACTTAAAACACTCGTAATAATTCGCTTATCAACAATCATGAATCATCAAAACAATGCCAATACGATACCGATACGGTATGGGTATAGGCCTACGTATACAACTAAAAGAGTGCAATCCAACGTAGTGCTCTGCTCTAGGATCAGAGGCAGAAAGGAGTGAAAGAAAGGGGAAGTTTCTTGTTGTGACAAGTGGCGCTGCGCGCTTGCTTATCTCGAGCATGAGTGATTCGTGAAATGAAACCCATAGGTGCTGCGCTGGCGCTGACGCTGCCGACTGCCGAGCGTCAGCTCAGTTCAAATCGAAACTGCAAATGGCATTTAGTCCTTGAGTTGTAGTGCTGTACAAATATACAAAATTTTCAAGTGCTGTTGGTACAAACAGAATAAATGCCTATATTGTGGTGCTATGAATACTTGAACTCTGAGCAAAAATAAACAAAATTACGTTGTTCACATAAAAAAAATTTTCCGTTGGCGCCACGGCGCCACTTTTTCGTGGCGCCATATGCGGCCGCGTAGTTCGCGTATGGGTTAAACCGGCCCTGCCCACAGGGGCTTACTGACACAAAGAGCATACCGTCTTAAACAAACAATCTATGAAAAGTAAAGGGTATTGCATTATTGCAAAACAAGTTTTAAACCCTAATTAAAATGTGCAATATGCACACAGATCCCCTTGTTAGTCCTTTAAATATCTAAAGCCGAGTAATCGTTGCAGGAAATTTGGACTTGGTCGGTAACAAGTCAGTCTTGAAGATGGACTTCAACCCTTGGGTGACTCCTATTGCTGACCAGTTGCAAGTTGGAGTTTCTCATGTTATGGACTACATCCGCACAGAAACTTACAAGTAGTAAGTATTCAATGATCAATAATCATCATGTATTGTCATTCGGCATTCTCAATCATGCTATAGTCATCTGGTAGTTTTAACAGAACGCATTATTAAAATGCGATAAATAATTTTCTTATAGGTTACTGCGAGATTCCTAAAACCTTTGGGTGGGAGAAAAAGAAATTGTGTGCTCTTCATACACACGATTTACATAGTGATCAACCCATGTTTCTTAAATACAAGAATTTCTCCCTATTATAATAGGTACTCAAATTGGTTTGTTGATTCTTTGGTCCCTCACTGAAATGCTACATTTTCTAAGTTTTGTGTACAAAACAAACACTTCTGTTTATGATCTCAAAAATAATATATTTTATAAAAATATAACTAAAGCACATCTCTGACAAAACAATTCTGTGCAATGCATAAATAGCTTGAACAACAATAGTTGACTGCCAAATAAAGTGAGAGTTTATTGTATGGTTAAATTAAACTAAACTAGGTTAAACGTTTAAGTTACTGGAGTATAGAACATCTGCTGTGCATGTCAACCCAGATCAACTTGTGAACCTATATATTAAATAATAAAATACAGTGTTGATTAATTATAGTTATTGATTGATTGATATTGATATTATCAATTAATTATAGTTCATTGTTGCATCGGTGTCTACTGGATTGTAATATGTTTACTTTACTGTACACTAACACAACCGTAATAATGAAAATAGTTGTTCAACTCTTGTTCAGCTTTTTGTTTAAAATACTAAAACAGTTAGAAATTTATTGCAGGAGATAACATTTATATCATAAATTAGTCAGCTTAAAGAATGGACCAGTATGGAAAAATGTAGTTCACACGGATCAAAATATCTTTTTGACCCTCACTCATATTCCAATTTCCAACCTCAGCTTCAAAAGACCCTTAAACTTGATCTTGTGTGAAAAAAGTCACTTTGGCCTTAAGTGGTGAAATATACTTTTTTAGATCATTGAATGGTTTTAAAATTAACAATTTAATTATTAATTGTTGCGTTCATTTCAGTGTTTACAGCAGGCACATGGCAGCGAAGGGACCTCCTCCACCCAAGCTCAACGACAAAAGTCAAAAGATCTCCCGTCAGAGGCAAAAAAGCTAGAAATCTCTACTGGCAGTCCGCAGTCGTACAAAAATGTTTACCTAAACGGTCTAGAATAACTTATTGTTCCCATAAACCAAAGGCGGCTCCAGACCCAAAATGTTGGTAGATTTTTCAAAATTATAAATAAGTAAAAACATTTTATTGTATGTAAATAAAAGGAAAGCATTTAAACTAATTATTTTGCATTTAAGTTCCTTCCTTATTGCGGCGAAAGCCTTCAAACCTCTCGTCCCCCAATCAAACTCTTTCTTGATCTTTGTCAGGCCTTAACAAATTATTCCTGGAGCCGCCCCTGCCATAAACGTGGCTTTTATTCATCAAATGACAAACTAGAGGCCTTGGAAGTGTGAAAAACATAATATATAACATTATTAAATTGCAATGTTCAGATTTTTGTAACTAATGTCAATTAATTAACAATTTATTACAATGTAATCCTAGTTTAATCACTTCTAGATTCCTGTGAATTTAATTATGTATATTTTAATGTTTACAAACAGAACTTGTTTGAATCAATTTATAATTTTGAGAGTAATCTAGTTCTCTAACCTTTCCGTCTCTACAGTTCAAATAGTAGACGTAGATGACTATTACATTTCGGAATTAATAACTCCATCATGGCTGAATACAAAAACATGTTAATTAAGACTTGTCAAACCATTACATAATCAATCGTTACGTTCAATCATTTTAAAAGTATCAGTCCATTATTTTAATAAACAAAGGGCTCAAATGTTTTAGTCTTCCATTTTACTATGGGAACGATATATAATATTAATTAATAATTTGGCAAATGAGGATGGCCTTTACATTCACTAATGCCCCAGAGAAGTAAGGTACAGAGGAAACACACTTATGGGACGACCGTACGCTTTTGGCGGAAATATCCTTGTAAGCAGTAGTGCTAGACACCACTTAAGTGTACCATTGAATGTTATGTTTCCTCTGTACCTTTTCTGTGTTGGTGCTAATGGTAAAACAGGTCTAAGTAAAACTAGCGGCGGCTGACCGATGTACGCAGCATCGACACTTATTTGCCACCTAAACTCAAAGCACCTGTGGGAGGTGATTTAAAGAGCTCATTGTTGATGTTGAGCTTTAGAAGTGAAGACGGTATAGTATTTAAAAACTGAGTAGTTTTACAAATTGAAGTATGGGCCCTGAATTGTTGTAATTGCATAAACGTTGCCGTGCATAAATTCAGCCTTATCTATACAATAGTTTGTGGTGCTAATAATAACTAATGGAACAACATTACCATAACAGCATTAAAATGTTTAAAGATTATAAATGAGTAGTACTGGTTGTTAATTTATTGCTAACTTTATATTTGTTATTTGTGCTTGTATTAAATTATTTATAGTTTGCTAATGTGATTGAATTTCCTTCCATTGTACCTAAATCCAGAAATAGAAGTAGCATTTTTTAATTGGCAATATTTCAAGGATATTTTAATTCTTATAGCTAGAAAAAGGTATATTGCTACAGTAAGAATCAAGCATTAGATTTTGACAAATCTTTATTATATTATGCCTTCTTTTAAAAATACAATGGAAAGGCTTAAGGTACATTTTTCCAGACCAATTTTATGTACTTCCCAATTTTATCCTATAAAAGTGGAAGAACGTAATCTGTTTTATACCATCGAATAGTTTACAATAATCAGCTTCTTGAAAACCTGAAATTTTGATTGTCCTGAAATAGGCTCTCTATTTTGTCCTATGGTGTTATTATCTGTCCTAGAATTTTCATAAAATTATTATTTTACAGAGTCTTTACTTCAATATGCTTACATATTTAATTGTAAAATTCAAGGTATTGCAGTTTTAAGTTCATTAAGCCTATCAAGTCCAAAGTCCAGTTAAATGATAGTGGGGTGATGCAAAATAAAATACGGAATTTCATAAACTATTTTGTCAAATAATTTCATATTTTCGGTTTAATGGTAGCTCCAAAAAACTACTCTTGGAATGGATGGATTTTATTAAAGAAACTAAATATTTGTGTTTTTTTTTTTTACAAGTATAAACATATTTATTAAAAAAACCTTATATGTTTAGAAAAATTTATTAATGACAAAAATTAACAAAATGAAAATCAACCTGAGTAATTTTTTTACTATTGCTTGAATTTGTAGTATGTCTAGCAATTTTGATAAATTATGAAGTCTGTGATTACAACTGTTAAACGTCAAGAGAAAATGTGTTATCCTTTTTGACGACTAGAGCACCCGCTAAGCCCCTTAGCTTCTGTACAATCATTATTTTGCACAAACTTATACAGCTATTTGCTATATACAAAATTTAGGTTATGAAAAAATAGGACAACATTTTTTGAGTGTAATAAAATTTGGAAGCAAAACAAAACTTTAAAACATTAAAATTTCATCTCCTAGAAGCTGTTGTCCAACCCAAAACATTATAAAATAATATTGTCCCAAAAACAATTTGATAGAAAAAATTTTGAACATAAGCAGCCGATCAAATCAAACCAAAAACTGTATTGTTTGAACGAATACAGTATAAAATAGGCATTTATACAAAGCTTATAACTCATTATTAGACTAACAATTTAATAAACTTACATTCACGAATAAATAAATTGTCAATAAATAAACCCACACATTTACATTACACAATATCTCAGTCAAATACATCCTAAAAAAGTAGAAAAGGTGTTTACAATTTCTAATTAATTGTTTCAAATTATTCATAAATGGCTGACAGTTTTGGGTTAATCTAATTCATGAGTTTCATAGGTGTAATTTAAATAGTGACCTAAATAAATTGGAAGTTGTACATCCATTTGTGTAAACAAAGCTTTAAAATGATTGTCATTCTGACTGAGATTGTGAAGGTACAATTGTACATTGACACATCTCACGTAAGTGTGAGAGAGCATACATACATACTCCTACGCCAACAGTGTAAAGCTTGATAACAGCAAGGGCACATCGGTACAGCAGCTCAATCGTAAACCGTAAACCATAAGGCCATGTACGAAGCAACACCTATACTATGTAAGTGGTTTTCCTTCTATTTTCTCAATGGTTCCTTCTTTTAATTTGTTAAGTACTTTATAATTACATTTTTAATTTTGGTTAATTTGAAACTTCTCTTTTTGGTGACTGTTTATGTTATGATAAAATATAGTTTTATGAGTTACAGTTTGTAAGACTTGTATATCATTTTAAGATTGTTTATTTCTTTAAATTTTACTTTTCAATTGAACAGGAATTCATATAGTTTTTAGATAGAAAAATAAGTATGTGGTATGTAAAAAAGAAATCAAAAGAAAATTTATTTGGATATTAGCAAAAAGATATTTGTTACATTGAGGATAAAGAGTCTATTTACTATAAATATTTCCTGGGAAAAAACAGTAATTATTTAGTTTTATTTTATTTTTGTTCTACATAGACAACACTTTCACAACAAATTCTTGTCATTTATTTACCGTAGGTCTCGTGGTAAGACCTAGGCCCGGGACCGATTTACCTTTTAATTTTGATGCCCCCAGAGGCCAATAAAAACTATTCGTTCAAATTTTTATATAGATATATAGGTATATATATATAGATTTGATTTATATATGTTTCCGTGAATGTGATAACTTGAGTAATTTTTGTCCAATTTTGATTAAATTTTGTTTAAAGGTGTAAGGCGGGATAAACATGAATGAGTTCGCAAACCAGAATGATCGGACCATGGGAACAGGTCTCATTTTTGACCCTCAAAACATAAAATTTCCCAATTTCTCTCTAAACCTTTTTAAAGAGCTTAAAAAAAACAATTTAGTATATCAAAGTGTTTTTGTACGGTTATTGGTAACGGAGAAAATTAAAAAAAATTTAATTTAAAATTCCTATATTATTCTTATGGAGAATATTGTAAAATGTTGTGGTTTGGTTGTTTATGGATATATTTTGATCAAACATGGCAAATTTATTTATTTTATACTAAACTATTAATATTTTACTAAAAAATACACTTTATTAGTTTCCTTATAGCAGCAAACCTAGGTACTCGTGAAACCTAATGTTATGAATTGAAAATCAGTAGTAGGAGTAGAAATTCCCTTAGTCGGCAGGTTCGCTGCGGAGGGGGTATTTAATTTAAATTTGAATAAAAAACATTCATAAAAAATTAAAGGTTATCATCTAGTTTTGATTGAACAACAAAAAAAGTGTAGATCCTGTATTAACCGTGAATTAAAACTTTCATTTAATGTTTTTTTTACTTACACTTTTTTTACTGAAGTTGATTTGAAAACTTAGAATTCAAACTTAGATATTTTCATGTAATTTAGTACATGACCTGCATTACCTACCTGCACTACAGGTTATGTTTCCAAACTTTCATTTTTTTAAAGAAACATTTAACTAGAACTGTAGCTCTACCTGCAGTAAATTTCCTGTATTAAGGCAGCAGATTTCATTCAACAAACCTCAAATAATAAAGTCACAAACCATGTTTATTTTAGAGAAAAAATTCTGCACAATCTTTACACTTCATCAAATTCCAAATTCTTTTCCGTAAATAGAACCTGAAGTCGGCAAAGTAAATTTTACTATACGAGCATTTTTGTCGAGTCAGGTAAAAAAATATCTGAAACATTACTAGTTTTATTTTTTGTTTTTTTCGTTACACATAATCTTAAGAACCATACCCGTATATAAAGGGCAATTCATAAAGAATACCCAAATTTTAAATATATTTTTTTATTAAAGAGTTGTTATAGAACCTTTAGTTACTATATATGATTATAAAAGAACATGATTTCTTACGCCTTATTTCAAACATGTTTAGAAAATTTTCCGATTTACTTCAATTTTGTAACCAAAATGAACAGTACATTAAAATAAGTTCTTTTATGCCATTGGATTTGTATATTTTCTTCAATTAAAAGTTTAGACAGAGATAGAGCTACAAGAATGAATCACTGACCAGGCTACCGGCTTCCTATACACCACAAATTATTAACCAAATTGATTTTGAAATATTCATGGAAAATCGAGAATGTCATACCCACAATTCAAGATGCTAAATTAAAACTGGATCACCATAGTCTAAAAATAAAAATGTTTAATTTATCTTCACAGTAAATGGGGCCAAAAATATGGGAAATTACTATAGCTGAATAAAGACTATTGACTCCTTTAAATTAATATTACGTCTTTGAGAGATCTTTTATGGAGGCATTATTACTCAAGATTATCAAATTTATATTGTTCACTTATACATTTGTTTATGTTTTATAGATTCATTGGTAACAATACTGTAGGATAAATCACATATCAACCAAATTGATTTAATGTTATTATCTATACAAATTATCAATTTTTGTCTTACATGATAGGGTAGAATTATTTAGCTATTGAAATTTGATTTTTAGAGGCTTATATTGATCCTGCTCCCAGGGTTCTTTGCATTGCCTTTGTTGGTTGGAAGTCAACTCATAAGGCAGACTGCTGTTGATCCCAGTGAATTTCCTTATCAGGTATGCTTCGTAGTGATTAACTATAATTACTGTAATTTTATATCGTCCTACAAGGAACTCCGGATCTAATAATTTGCAATCTTTTCTACATAATTTCCAGGTCTAATTCATTATAAAAAAGCTTGTATGTATAATTGTTTAATGCGGGCAGCAACAAGTTTATTTCCTCAAAATAAAAAATGTGAAATAAATATCTTCTTTTTTTTGTTAAGCTGTTTTTCCTGTCAAGAAGACTCAAAGATAAATAACCGCAATGTTGCTATTTGAGAATTTATTTACTGTAGACTTCCTCTTATCCGGACACCTTTTAACCGGACTACACTCAGCGGAAATTACATCTCTTTAACCGGAAAATTTGTGTCAGCATATCGGTTTAACCGGACTAGATCGGCAGGAAGTGGCCGGTACTAAAACGACTGTTCTTGTGGGAAAGATTTGGGACCAGTGATCACGTGTGTAAATACAATGCTCTCCTAAATTTAAGTCAAATACTGTATACAGTATGCATTCAAACGGTCCGTTTTAACAAGTTTTTGGGGACGTCGGTTTACCCGGAAAACCGTTATCCAGACTGGTTTCCATCCCGAGGAGTCCGGATAAGAGGGAGTCTACTGTACATGGTCTGAACCCAAGGTTCTTGCAAACGCATTAATTGTTAATTGTTTTACAAATTGTTCACATCATTTTAGCCTAACCTGTCTCATCTTGGGTTTTCATCCTATAAAATATATTACAGTCTTGTAACAAACGCAGATTTTACTACCTGATTTGATTCCGATGAAGTGAAAATATTATAACCAATAATAGGAAATATTTTGATCTTTGTAGTTGAAATCGGCATCCGAACCATAATTTTAAATTATGAAGAATGAGTTTCAGGACAAATTTTTATTGATGTTATAAAGTTAGAACTAAGGGAACAACACTGTAAATAACTTCTTTTAAATACTTAAGCATTTAAAAGACATAATACTCTCGCCGCACTAAACCTGCAGACTAAGTCAATGTCCTTGCCTGATGAGATTTTTACTAAAATATTTGCCTACTTAAGTTATAAAATTACAGTTTCTTTCCAAAATCTATGGTAGATGTGGAACTAGTTCATATAGTAGATTTTTAAAAACCTAATTTTCCTCTTTCGTGTCCTTTTCCCATTGCAATTGCAAAGTACGGCTACAAGCACATTATAAATAAACATCATCAATCCTATACGAAAGACAGATGGTTAGTAAGGAATACATCTGACATATTAAGTCATAAGTATTTTATTGCATAAAACATTCTTCATTACAAAGGCATTACAAAGGTGAACAGATGCATGGTCAATCAATAAGTTATAAAAACTAAAACTAAAAAGTTACAAAAAATACAACAAGAACAGTAAATTTGAGAAAAAGTTACCAATTCAAAAAAGTTAGAAAAAAAATGTAAATGAAGATATTGAAGCAATGTCAGAGACAAAAAGATATATTTTACTGAACATCAATCAGGCAAATGGAAATTCACTTAGTCCACATGTTTTCTGACGAGAAATTTTACAACACTTATGCTTAGACTGTTAAACATAACATTTTTGGGCTTAGAGAAGAAAAACTCAGGGCCGATTTACCGAATGAGCACGGTAGGCACGTACCTAGCGTTGGCAATTGGCTCTTTTGGGGGGTGCCAAAAATTGGAAAATAAAAAAATAATTTGGTTATTGTATTTGCATGCGATTGCGGTAAACGTCTGATAATCCCTCGCGGCCGTGTTGACATCATTATCGTCTCCCGTGGCCGTATAGACATCATTATCGTCTCCCGCGATCGCAGAAAAATTCCAAATATTTCCCACGGTCGTGTAGACATAATCATCGCCTTCCTTGATCGCGGCAATATATGAACATATCCCGCGGTCGTGAGGAGATCATCGTTGTCTACCGCAAAGTGAGGCAAATCTCTGATATTTTCCCTCGGTTGTGTGGATATCATCATTGTCTTGCGCGATCACGGTAAAATTCTGAAAATCCCTTTCGGCTGATATCATTATTGAATCTCCTTCGTTAATGAAGAGATCGTTATCATCTCCTCCGGTCGTGAAGACTTCGTAACCGCCTCCCGCGATTGCGTCAAAATGTTAATCATATCCCACAGTCGTGTGAAGATTATCATCGTCTTCCGCGGTCGTGGCAAAATTCTGACTGTTTCCTGCAGTCGTCTAGAAATTATCATCGTCTTCTGCGATCAGGGCAAAGTTCTGATCATCCCTCTCAGAAGTAGAAATACATCTTTCACGCATAATTCGCAGTTCAAAAAAATCCATGCATAATTCCCGGATTACCAGGTCAGTGGTCACCCTTTTATATATATACAATGCAAACGGTGCTACTATTAGTTGTGCCTAGGGCGCTGACATTGTCAAAAACGGGCCTGGAAAAACTTAAGTTTGATAGAATGTTAAAAATAGTAAATTTTTTAATTGGGCAAAAGAAGCAAAAAATCAATTTTTGGGTTAAACCATTGACTATTGGATAAACCCTAACTCCCTACCAAACAACCCCTTTTTTCCTTTCTTCATATGGCTAGTGTTTTATTAATTTTTTCATTATGAAATGTAATAATGGTGTTTAAGAAGGGGAAATTGTAGTTAAACAAGTTTTTATTGCAAACAAATGTTATTTTTAATTTTACAAAAGTATTTGTATGGAAACAGTAAATATTTCATGAATTAATACATTTCCTGGGTTGTAGAAAATACAGAAAAAAAATTTAAAAACTGAAAAAATTCTTTGATAATGTATGCTTTTTTCAAAAATCCTCGTCCAGTGGTTGGTTTGGAAGTACTTTTAAACACACTTCACAAATATTTTAAATTTCCCCCCGGAATATTGATTTTTTAAGGTTTTACACTTAAATTTGGTCTTGGCGTCTTTTTGTCCAAGGAAGACGGTTATCAAAGCAGACATGCCTTTGCAATGGGAGGCTAGATCAGTGGACTCTATGGTTGGACATTTCCATCCAATTGGTTTACAGATAATAAGTTTTTTGGCAAACTTTCAATACTATCAAAATTATCATGATAAAGTTATTAATACTAATTATGATAATAAATCTGAGACACTACTACGCGCGCGGGGGTACGCTGGATCCCCTAATGAACACTGTACTGGTAATACAAGCACTCGCGTGGGGGTATGCCAGACCCAGGGGGGTGATAACAGGTCAATCACTTGGTCAAGACTAACAACCCTGCGGCCAGATGATAGCATATGCTATTTTAGGAAGCTACTGTTATGCTCATCGGGGTTGCCACCATACTTGTAAAATTATTGCAAAATTAACGTACGTGGGGGTATGTCATACCCCCGAGCGCGAGTTTAAGGGTTAAACAAAAAAACATACTGGTCCTGTATCTAGATCCTACCGTGAAGACTAAGAGTAGAAGATAAATTCCCGTTGGGAAATTAGACTAGTATAAACAGAGGGGATCAGAATAACTTCTTGAGAAATTATCATCTCAAATTTAAACCAGGGTAACTGTGTCAATTTAGGATAATAGAAAACAAAATAATTACATTGAGTTGCATTGCAATGTAAATTGATTTTTTTAATGATAAAGGTTACAGCACCCATCAAAGTTTCGGTTTTAATGAGCATTGTTAAATTTGATTTCCATGCTTTCTTCTATCATGGAACCGTTTCAGAATCTGCTTGTCATTTAAATCTACAAATAGTTTGAAATCTGTCCAATTTACAAAACAATATTTACACAGTTGATAAATCACATTGTGAGTTTCACAAGTGGAGTTGTGTACTAATGATGGTATATATTTTGTTTGTCACTTAACTAAATACAGTTGAACTTAAAAAAGAGTGCTTTTTAAATAGTGTAGTTCTACTCAACCCACATAGTGCTGTTAAGTTTTTAGCCATAGAAACTAATCAAAACACGAAACGCTCAAAGTTGTTTGGTTATACATTAATCAATGCTTTTGTAATGTTATTGTCCTTGGCCTCTTTGGATCTCAAACCTTTGCATTCGTCAAACTAATTATCATCTTCAATCTTTATGTTCATGCTCGTATGAAACTTGATAATAAAGTCCCATCTAAAATATAAAGTAATCTATTAAAACTAAGTTGATAGCTACACACCATAGGAACCAAAGGGTTTATTAGAACCTCAAAACCCCCATCCCTTAACCCCAAGCTATACAATTGCAATAATATACCAACAATAAATGTTATTTCTCTTATTCACATACTAATACCCAATACATTTGTAGGTCATATATTTTTTGTAGATCAGTACATTTTCTGCAAGTTTATCGTTTGTTTTCCAAGGTTTTGATTAGTGAGTGCGAAGAAGATCCTAAATGCGGAGGAGCTGTTATTTCAAACGGATTCCTCATAACATCAGCTACTTGTGTGCTCGAGTTCGGAGGGTAAGAATATATTCTTTCTCTTCATTTGAGTTGTGTTAAGAACTAATAAACCATCATTATTCTGGACTGTGGACAAACCATTTGACAGCAGTTTATTACATCTTCATACTTAGTCATTCTCAAAAAAGTGTACATTTTCTGTTATAGAAAAAAAATATATATATATATATATTTATGTGGCAAATAAACATTTTAGCAGAAAATTTATTTATAGTAGCTATATGAACAAGTTGTATAGAATCGTAATCTCTTAAAAAATATGCTATTTGAATTTCCTTTTAGTTTTGGCTATGTAACTATTTTCAAAGATTTAAAATGCATAATACATTTTAAAATTTTTGTTTTCGTGACAATGCTATATAAATGGTGTTGTACAACAGAGATGCTTCTTTAAAAATATGGTACAGAACTTTTGACACACAATTTACAGCTCTAGATTCAAAATACTCTATTAAATGTTTTTTTTGCAAAAGATGTCTTGCTGTGAGGGGAACTAAACAGTCCCAAATACTTCTGTATTTCTTCAGATTAAGTGTGTATTTACTTTAACCTGAATTTTCACAATTTAGTCTGGATTAATGAGGGTTTAAACCAAAGTTAGATTGTCAAACATTGTGTCATATCAATGATATAAACTGCTATATAAATGGTAATAATAAAACACTTACACTATTATTAATACTGTACTAATGAATAGAGCCTGATAAATTTAAAGTAGTAATCAATTTGTTTGTATTGGTGGTATTTGTGTGTAAATACTTCTTGTAGACTTTCATATAACCTTAACTTTCCATTTACTTGGAATACTTGACCTATATTCAAATAATGAAAATTTTAAATGCACATTTAATACCTACATGAAAAGGACATTAAACTCAAAAGCTACTTTCCATTTGAAACACTCATAACAAATTAAATATTAACCACAAACTAAAAATACCACTTGAAATTATACTAAAAATTGGTCTATTATGTCGAAAGTCTTAATTTAGAGGTATGCAGGTATGGACTGTATAACTGTGTCCAAATTCGAGAGTCTTAATCATTGTGTGTGATAATAAAAGTGGTTCAATTATATGCATTCAATCTTTCTTTAGTCAATTGAAACATTTAGAGAGAGAAGTAAAGTAAGTAAACTAAATTTTAGCTCTTATAGATCTTAATTTGTATAAAATTAAATATATCTTCAAATATTAAAGGTTTTACAACTATTTTAGTATTTTGCGAACCATCTGATTCAATTACACTATAAGTGAAGTTTCACAAGAACATTTTTCAGGATTCAGAAATTTCTTCAAGATGCTGTTCTCTACGGGGGAGGAGCAAGTTTATTATTCAACATCGGAGAGGTTGCGGACGCTTCAATACATCCAAAATACATGGTTGATCCAACCACATATGATGTGGCTATTGTCAAGGTATCTTAATTACATTTCAAAAATGTTCTTTACTAGTTTTATGGCATTCTTGTGGGGGGAAATTCAGGTCATGGCCAACATATTTTTTGGTTCCAAAAGAATGCACTTAACTTTAAATTAACTTTTAACTGAATTTGGGAGGGTAAACATTACTTTTTTAAATTTTTTTTAAGAGGTTGGCGGCCTCTTTTAACCTTGGGCCCAAGTCCGCGACGCTACCGACTGAGCCACCGACTCACTAACTTATTATTAGTATTATATTGTTTTGATTTTTAATATTACGATTTAGCTCTCAGTATATTATTAGGATGTAATGACATTGTGTAAATAAACAAAACACTTTCAGAATACATTCAATTTAGATACTAATTCAATTTATTCATTTGACTCATTATTGAGGAGTTGGCTGGTTAGCTGCGTATGCTTATAGTGCTCACCTAGTTTTTACTGTAAAAATTATATTACAAATAGTGAACTTCTTGTCAAAATAAAATATGATGAGAAAACCTAACAGTGCTATCGATGCTAACAGTGTTGATCGATAAGTGTATTTGGCTGGTTAGCTAAACAGTTATAGTGTTCTCCAAACACTGTTTCCAGTTTGACTTTTAGAAATGTCAGTAGTTTTTTTTTAGATGGGTCAAAACTGGGCTAAGCTGTTCTTGATGACTTTTAATTTTTTCCCTATTAAATTTGAAGAAAAAAATTGTTTTTGTCAAAATTTTCAAGTTTGGAATTGGGTCAAAATATCAGTTTAACCTCCTGCTGAACCCAAATAAGTGTTTTTCAAAGTGATAATTACGTGTGTGTGGATGTGTACAGTCGAGCTACAGACTACGAACTATTACTTGTGGTTCAAAATTTGGTATGTGGGTACCCATGGTACCTCCGGGGATTATTTTTAACAATTGTTTTTCCATTGAAACCATAAAATAACAGGAAAATTGAATTTTCTCAAACAGCCCAAATAATTTTGATAAAAATATATTATAATCCTTTAAACTCTAAAAAAATAGTACAACTCCCAATGCTTTAAAAATTACGGTTCAAAAGTTATTTAAACTTTTGTGATTTTCAATCTTTTGAGTAATTCAGTTTATTTTTCAGTACATTCCTGCAGACAAAGGACCAAAGTTGAATTCGACTACTCTGAATGGGACTTGGGATGACCCACAAGGGTGTGTCTTTTCTTCTTGGTGGGTGAGTGTTTATTTGCTGTGTACAATATTTATGTACAGGATGTATTGACATTGGACTATACTCAATAACTTGGTTTATAGTATCAATCACTTGGAATTGATTTCTTTTTAAACTCATGGTGCCTTGAATCAATATACAAAACGAATATTTCCACAATAAAGCAATAAATCATAAATGGTTGCAAACCTTTTAACCCTTCCCGGACGGGTAAAATCGTGACATAGAACAGGAAAAATTAAAGGAAAAAATAAAAATTTTTTTCCTTATTTGTGTTTTGTTTTACAAGTATACATAAAATAAACACAATGGAACACTTCATACTGTCAAAATAACTTTTTACTCGTTTTTAACTATGCGGATATATCCGCTACCTGTCCGCGGATATATCCACCACCCGTCTTTGAAGGTATGACCATGACAATGTTAGGCAATAAATAAAGAACAATATGTAAACAATAAATAAAGACAACGTAGTGTTGAGCGTGAAACGTCGAGGGGGGAGCATAGGAGAGGTGGGTTGTAATAAAATACAAATAAATAAATAAATAATAATATAAATAATATAAATATAATAATATAAATATGAATAAATAATAAATAAATAAAATACAATAATACTAAAAATTAGATTCAATAGACGATAGATAACCTTAATTCACATACAACCCTCATAATTAGACTCGGTTTCAAATTTTCTCAAGAATTCTTTGAAACTCAAACTTTTTGTTATTTCTTGTGTGATAGTTGATGGGGGGCCACCAGTTGACCGACAAGATACTTGGTCGTTTTGCCACTAGACCGTCTTTTTTAATTAAATAGATAAATACTGAAAACCAGTACGTCGACAAGTTATTTCATCGTCAGTCCAGTTGACCGGCCTGTAAAACTAAATTATTATATACGAGAAACCAACTTGTCGTCAATCGACCCGGCCGACATACCACTTGCTCGTCTTTTAGGTGGGGATGTGTTGAGCAGCAGTGCCAGCGGCGCGCGCAGCTGTGGAGGGCGCTGTAGGCGTACCAACTTCTGTATCTTGTAGCGGCGGTTTTTATTCCGATGATTTCCAGCTATCACAATGCAGCGGACTAATGAGGTTTTTTATTACGTGTAATTGTTTGTTTCTCAATCGATATTTGTTTATATACAGTACAGTGAATATAAATATGCCTATATTAATTTACTTCAATTAAATACACGTTTTTTAGCTACTACATTTAAATTATTGAAGAATTACATGAAATCTATTTGTAAAAACTGACTTTGAACATTTCATTACAGCTAAGAAAGTGGTGTCAATAGGATAGTTAAATTAGAATTCTCCGCGAACAAAGATAAAATGTTCAGATCATCTATAAGTATAAGTAGATAAGTAAGTAGAAAGTAAGTATAAGTAAATAAATGACGTATACAACTGTAATAGATCGTTAATCAGAAAAGTGTAAACCAGTTTAGAAGTATGTTAAATAAATAGCAGAGCATATATACAATTCTAATAAATCACTTATCATTCATTAATTACAAACCAAAAACATACTATAGATTAAAGCAAATTAATTTGTCTCTATAATAATTAAATAGATATCCTTATATATAATACGTGAAGGCGATTTATACGAAACACTACTCCTCCGTTAATAATGGACGGAGTTTTACAAATGATGTGTCAAAATTAAGTATTTTTTACGCCCCCTTTCACCAATTCCAGCAAAAAAGTCCTCGGGCTTTGCCCCAAAGACCATCTAAATCCCAATGTATTTCTTATGAAGCAAGAATTTTGTTTACTTAAACATATTAATAACTAGCAGAGCACCCGTCCTTCGTACGGGGTTGGTATATAAGTATAAAATGCTTATTGCAGCTATACTTAAGCTTTGAGTTTGCAATGGGGGGAGGACACAGTTTGATAACATTTACGGTATGATATAACACATCTACCATTGCCATAATGTTCTACCACTGCACCTAAACAATAGAAAAGATAAATTATCAAACATTCGCACAATATCTCAAATTATTCATGAAATAAAAATATCAAACCTAACTGTAAACAATCCTATTTTGACTTGACAGTTCTCATTGTGTATCACAGCTTTTTGTTGCTGCTTAGTTCAAATTAGCTGTTGTCATATATGCAAAAACGAAATAATAATAGTGCTGCACCCAGTTGGGAAACCTTATAACTTTTTAATGCTCTTGCATATTATAGAACCAACTTGTAAAGTTGAAACAGCTGACTAAATTCTTTAATTCCCTTTAAATATGAATACTCATGAGGTTAACATGGGGAACTATAGAGCCACTGGGGCGGAGCCCGAAATGATTTTTGAGATAAGAATATGCCTTAATGTTAATAGGAAATGTTAGCTATCATCATGCCAAATTTCAGACCAATCCGTCTAGTAGTTTATGCGTGATTGAGCAACACACAAACATACACACAAACTCACAAACTTTCAAATTTATAATATTAGTAAGATTTGTATAAATTGCATAACACAGCTGTTCAAAGTAAACACATGATACACACAAGAGCGTTCGTTTTCAGAGTGAGTTCGTTTTCAGTTTCGATAACCGGCGTGGAGTGATTGATTACATTATCTTTGAGCTGACTCTTTTCAGTCATCGGGAAGTATATGGATGTTATTAGTTTTGAAATATCGCCTGTAATACTTTACAATAATTGCTCTAATTCGAGCAACAGGTGCACTAGTATTATAGTCATAGCAGTAAAAATTTTATTAAAAGCGTTATTAAGAGCCATAATTGTTAAAGAAAAATGAAAAAAATGTAATTTTAAAATTTCCATGTTATTCTTATGGAGAATAAGTAAACTGATGTAATTTCCTGTAAAAGGAAAATATTTTTGATAATATTTGGAAATGCATTTATTTTACACCTAACTACGGAGGGGCATTTCACAAAAACACTTTTTACCCTGCCTCTTGCAGCAAACCTATGTGTACTCGTTAAACTAATGCTATTTAAATAGGAAATAAATGTGATATTTTTATAGAGATATTTTATTTATTTTATCTTATTATTATTTAATTTATAATTTTATTTTATTTATAGACATGGTTGTATTTATTTGGTTTGAATGGAAATATTTGCATTGTTTTGTTGGTTGAAAATCCGTGTTTTACAGTATAACACTTTTTGAAATCGTTAAATGAATTTACAAATCAACATTTGTGCACTGTCTGTTGTGGTTTTTAATATCAGCGTTTACACACAACTACATAACAGTAGGCCTATATTTTTCAATGTGTCCAGAATACGTGAAAGGTACGATTATTTTCACTAGAGTTTATCTAGTATTTTTAGGGAAGGTCATCTGCCTTCTTCACTTATGATGTTAATCACCTTATGATTCTTTTATAATGCTTGCTCAAGAGAGAAGATCAGATGTAAGTTCGATCATCCCTACATCCTTACATAAAGGCTAAAAAGTCACAATCATGCAATTGCAGATGAGTTTGTTGCTTTATGTTTTTCGATTATATGTCAAGTATCAGCGGTTGTAGCGAATTACAAATTGCTTTTAGTGAATTTCCCATACAAGGAATAAGTTATTTATGCTTTTTCGTAGTGAAATGTATGCATAATATCGAGGATTAATCATTCTTTTTTACTCGGTATTTCAAAAAAGCCACTTTTATTTATGTGTGTAAATTCCGCTTAGTGAAAATATTGTAGACAATGTTGACCCACCTGTTTAGGGCCAAAAAGAGAACCAAAAATAAAACATTTTGCTACACCCATTTGACAATAGGCTAATTGTGATATTTTGAACGGGATAACCTCTGGGTTTGGTACATTCTGTATAAAAAACATTTAAAATATTTTGAAGTTATAGTTGAGTTTGTTTAGTGGGAAAATTTTTATTTCATGACTGTGGAACAAACGGTTTGTCTGAAATCAATAGTGGGCACCTGACGTGATTCACCCTGTGTAGTAGGCCTACTTCATCCATATCCTTCTAGGAACATCGGAGCAGTTCGCGCTTTCTCACCGACACTACTTTCACTTCCTCCCCCATTCGGAACCATCGACTGATTGGCACCCCTAATGTGCCGGGGAGGGCCATAAATCAGGGAATTAGCTTTAACAATGCCCGGGTGATATTATAACAAAACTTCTGTCTACCTTCGACTGGTACGTTCTGAGTTGCATATTCACGTTAGAGGCTTTTCTTGCCACCATTGAAATTTTAGTTATATCGATCTGCAGGGTGAAGTTATTAATTTCACCCAAGATGGCTACTTTTTTAATTGCATCAATGTTTTTTATAACACCAAAGAGCGGGTTTTCTGAATAAACCTAGATAATACAAAAAATGCTATTGTTGTATGGCAATAGGCCCTTTTGTTGTATTACCCTTTTAAAACATTTTTAGTCTGATTAAACCAAAATACAAATTTTAACTTAATTGTGACGCTGCACTATAGCCAGCTTTTTGAAATTGACATGTTTACTTTAGGCAACTCACCTTTCAAGGTGTAGGATTATTAGTTTTCTTATTTGACTTTTGCAAATATTCCTTAATGCGTTTTGTTGTAAATTTATTTTTACGAAATACAATTTTTATGTAATGAAACATAAACACATTCAATACATTTCAAGAAAAAAAAAATACATGATATAGTCGTCTAAAAAACATTTAAATAAATACACAAACACAACGCACGCAAAACATTTAAAATTTAAAGTAGACCAACCATTAACCGGTCACGGCACCGAGGCAGACTCACTCATTAGTGGAAGTTTGCAGATAAAGCGAAGTCTAAAACACAAAATATAGCGAAACAATTTCAGCAGCATCCGTGAACATCCATGGAGATCACGATGACATCGTAAAATCTCCCGTGACCTTAGCTACATTTGTGAAACCCTCCACAATCATTATTTTTACTTGACGCGAAGACGTTAAAAAGAGAGCCGAAAGAAACACTGTTATGAGTGGACGCATGATTGTAGGTTATTACAGCTGATTGTTCAAAATGTACAACTTTTCAGTTATATTAATCAAACGAACGAATATTTATTTATTTATTTAACCTTTAATCTTCATTTTTACATACCTACCAACTATTCTATATATATTTAACAAACCCATCTTCAAATAATATCACCTCTTATCGCTTCTTTACAACAGGTTTCAATGAATGGTTATGTTGTGTTGATTTCGTTACCGACAGGAAACAGCATTTATCAGTTTTGATTCGGTTATTTACCAAGGGACGTAGAACGCTCTTTTGTATGCATTCGAGTTTTTAAGCCCCTTAGGTTAGTTATCTCATTAACCCACGCTAAAAAGAACTCTGTTATCATGTTGATGAGAAACCTAAGCACTATATAAGATTGGTTGTAGCTCACTTACACTATCAAAGCGAAGTTGACCAACTTCGGTCAAATTCTCATACTACGCAATAGTCCGTATTATGAGAGTATGTCCAAACATATGTTGTGTTTAACATATGCTGCGTTTAGTTTTCCTGCTATAACCTGTTAAAAAGTCAATAAGGGATATTTCAAAATGACTGCCATTTTGATTAGGGATGCGATATTGACCTCTAGTTTGCGCCATTTAATTTGTTTTGAGAAACCCTTTTGAAATGAGGGGTCACATGATAGGTGTTTACATTTGAAAATTTGGTGCTGCCCCTAAAATACCCCATTTTGGGGGCCGGGTACAAGTTCTAACTTGAATGAAAAATCCCATTTTTATGTTTTAAACATGTGCCGAGTTTGGTTTTCCCACTACCACGCGTTATAAAGTTAAGGGGGTGTCCAGGCTTTATCTTGGGCTGCCATTTTGATTACGGTTGCGATATTGACCTCTGGTTTGCGCCATTAGATTTGTCTTGATAAAACCTTTAAAATTAGGGTTCACATGATAGGTTTTAATTTTGAAAATTCAGGGCTGCATTGTAAAAACTGGGGCAAAGTTGTAACTTAGATGAAAAAGTGCCATTTCTTATGTTGTAAATATATGCCGAGTTTGGTTTTTCTACTGCAACGCGTTAAAAGATTAACTGGGGGGTTCCAGACTTTTGCCTAATCCTGTATTCGGCTATAGTTCTGTACGGTACTGCAGAGGCCGTGTTTTGTTTACAATTAGTTTCTTGTTATTTCAGTTATTATTTAAAACATCATTTAACCAAATAATACGATCTAATCATAAACAATAACTCGTGTCCTATTTATATAACTAAACAGGAAAGCACAAACCAAGATATAATAGAAACACAATTTTGTTAACACTAGCGCCCAGTGTCACCGTACATGAACTAGACACGAAAACGAGCTTCAAGATTTACAATGGGGTAAGAAGTCTACTTGTTTTACTCCAAATGAAGAAATTTGGAAAGTATCAAATTCACTCAACCGGGGAGCGACCGTATATATAACATAACATAACATATAACGTATATAACACAATGTGTACCCTACATCGATTCTTTATCAGCACATATGTTTAATACCCCCACCGCAGCAAACCTGCACACTAAGCGAATTTCAACTTGTCTGATTACATTTTTACTAAAATATTTCTATAAATAAGACATATTTATTCCAAATTTAAATATCATTAGATTTAACGAGTGCTTAGGTTTGCTGCTACGGGGAAGGTAAAAAGTGTGTTTGGACCATATATGTCAATAGTATAGGATAAAATAATTAATTTGCCAAATTTTATCAATATATACCCATAGACAAGTAAACTACAACAGTTTTCATTTTCTCCATAAGAATAACATGAGAGTTTTAAATTATACTATTTTTAAAATTTCTCCGTAACCGTTAGGCATACAACAGCGCTTCAATATACTAAATTATTAATTTTTTAAGCTCTTCAAAACGGTTTAAAAAGAAATTGCAATTTTTTTTTGTTTTTAGGGTCAAAAAATGGAAAACCCCATTTTTACCCCATAAAGAACCCCCATAAACCCCTGTTTCCATGGTCAGATTATGCTGGATCGCGAACTCGTACGAATAAACGTAGGTTTACACAATTGTGCAAAGAGTTATCGCGCTAACGGACACACACATACATATGCATTTGAACGGATGGTGTTTTTGGCCTCTAGGGACCTCAAAACAAAAAATTAAATCTGCCCCGGGTCTAGGTCTTACCATGAGTACTACGGTAATAGCATATTCCCTATATGGTAAATTCACTAAAAACAAACTAACTTCATTATAGTTTTAGCTGTTCTGACAAATACAGATCGTAGAAGTAGAACACACTTGCATGGCATGTCCCACGTAGTAGAACCTCTTTAATCCGAACCCCCATAATCCGAACGTCCACTAATCCGAACCCCTCATTGCTGTACTCTATAAACAGTACAGCAGTTCTTTATTGTATACTGTAGTTAATTTACAGTACTGTTTATTCACCATGTTTACTACTGTATTAAATAAACATTGTATTTTACTTTATAAAACATTTTTCACTTTTCCCAAAAAAATGTTGATCAATTTTAGCCATGTTTGAGCTATTGCTATGTAAAAACAACAATATGTTCTGTAATCCGAACTATTCAATAGTCCGAACTACCCCTGGTCCCAATTAGTTCGGATTAAAGAGGTTCTACTGTATACTCAATTCATTATAAAAAATATAAACTAAACAGCACCATTGCAAAAAAAACACCAGTTCAAACCACACACCCGTGCTGACGACATACAGATATACGTCGGCAGCCCCAGTGGTTGACCGGACTATGGTGTCTGGGCGTCCGCGTTTTGGCTCACGTAGCGCGATCCATTGTGCTACATATCGATGGGAGCGACATGCTGACACTTTAGCAGCCTCTCACACACTGCCGTAGCGTAGCGGCCGACACGACGTTGACTTACTACGGAAAGAAACTATTTCAGCGCTCCAAGCGCCCGGTGTCTGGAACTATCCGAGGCAAGATACACCAACGAGGAAAGAGAGAGGCTAAGATACAACAATGAGGAAAGAGGAGGTAAACTGAGGCAAGATACACCATCGAGGAAAGAGAGAGGCATCTGAGGCAAGATCCACCAATGGATCTTGGTGGATATCCACCAATGTGATATCCACATATCACATTGGATATCTACATATCACACATATCGGTGACAGCTAGAAAAAAATAATCCATCCAAACAGATGTTCGTTATTTCATAGATGTCGTATTCTCCAAACAGATGATTAGTATTTGATAAAGACGTATGTGGTAGACATGGGGAGAAAACTTGACAAAAATCCACAAAATTGGGTTTTGAACGTCATCAGTCAGGTTATTTCAAAAGTAGCGATGCATGTTTTAATGGCTAAATACACTCTTGCCAATTCAGTGAACACAAAAAAACTATTTAAATCCCTATCGTATTTCGTATTCGTATTTCAGGAGAAGAACTCTTGTTCATTTTTACATGCAAAGACTACGTAAAATGCCTTCTGGGCCATGACAAACAGACAGACAGAAAGTGAGATAACACATTAAAAGCTTTTTAAAGTATAAACTCAAACATAACCGAAAAATACATAATCCTGAACAATGCACAGAGAAAACTATAATTTTATTTATAGATATTTTATATACACTTTCACTTCTATAAAATATTTTCTTTCTCATGACGCTTGATGAACGGCTTATACACGTAAAATAATAACTTTCTTAAATAGACAATCCTAACGAACTACTGTTGCAGTAAACTTGCGAATATTTCTTACTTTACTCTTACACATGTTTGAAATTTACATCTTGCATTATACACTACTTTGTGCCTGTTGGCTACTATGAATCGTTCGGATTAATTTAAGATATTAAACTTTGTTGATATACACGAGGTAAATTGACCTCCATGATACCCATAATTATACACAGGTACCATATTACCGCACTACAAATTTGATTCTTCAATATACGGTACGTAGTTTTATCCAAACAAACGATCAAAACCCCCGAATGTAATTGTTATTTGACTCAATAGTCAATGCATATAAGCGAGTCTTATCTTTCGATGCAGATTAAATAATACAAAGGCAGAGGAATGCGCGAGACCAAGGACAAGGTCACGGCACGGTTGCTATAGAAACGACGAAACTATCTATTAGAATTGCGCTCCAACGTCAACTAAACGCCAGACTGTACAATAAACACGCCGCGTGTGTAGTGTTCGACGGAGCTTTGGTACTTTCAGTTGGCAATACTGGCTTCTAGCCTCGAGCGAGGTGGTTCAACCATGAGAAGCGCCTCAAACTCCTGGGTAATCCCCGGTTAGCTCCTCCCACTCTGCCCCCTATCCCCACCTAAAAGACGAGCAAGTGGTAAGTCGGTCGGGTCGATTGACGACAAGTTGGTTTCTCGTATATAATAATTTAGTTTTACAGGCCGGTCAACTGGAATGACGATGAAATAACTTGTCGACGTACTGATTTTCAGTATTTATCTATTTAATTAAAAAAACACAGTCTAGTGGCCAGACGACCAAGTATCTTGTCGGTCTACTGGTAGGCTCCCATAGTTGATAGTGATTTAAATATGTTTTCAAAATAGGAACTTGCATGAACACTTTTTGCTTTTTAGAAGATATAGTAGCTATTTTTTACTCTAAGCAAAATATAGTTCTATGAATGGACTTTTTAATGAAATCTCCCCTTGTTTCTAAAGAGTTATACCATAGAGTAAATCTATAAGCTCTCAAGGAGTGAACTTATCTATAGTAAACTGTCAAGCAAACTATGGGATGAAACTTTGGTTACTTATGCATATTGACCTTAACTAAATTAATCTTTTTCCTTGTTCCTTTTGAAAATCTCTTTGTTAGTCAGAGCCAGAAAGCAGACTTCCAGTTCGGTTGACATGGCAACCTGTATCGCTATCGGAATGTTCCCCATACGATCCTAATTCAATATGTTTTGCTGATGACACTACAGAGTTCTTTAAGGTAAGATGTCTTTCAAAATGGAAAATTCAGCTTTTCCATATCATTAGTGTATGAAGTCAAAGAATTAGTCCACCTTATCATTTAATTTATTCTTAGTTTAACTATAGATGAAACTAAATAATATTATTTAAATACCTGCCTGTCCGTGATGCAACAATACATACGTGGTCATACAAGTATCACTATATTTTACCGTATTATTTTTGTATAAATGTATGTTACATACATTTATGTTTCAAGCAGTGTATGTTTGAAATACCCTCCAATCTTGCTAAAAGGAACCAAAATTAGGACCCTGCTAAGAAACAAATTTTTTTTTTAAGCCAAAAATGCAGTAAAAGGGCAACAGCAAATTAAATGTATTTTAATCACTTTAAAAGGGATATATTGCTCCCACAATCACGACAAATTAGTTGTAGCGGATTCCCCTGGTTTTCATAACACATTCCTGTAGCTTTATTTTGATTTTAAAGTCACCTTTCATACTCAACCGTAGATTAGCTTAACATCCCTTCTAGTGGAATTTGAATCAGACAGGACTCTGATGTAGGCCTACATTTTAATGAAAATGCAAATTTTAATGAAAGGAAACTAAAGATAAATAATTTAGACTGTGACCTATTTTACCATCAAAGTCAATTAAAAACCTGGTTACTATAGTCCTCGCCACTCTAAGTTGTGGCAGCCCAAGGTCGCACGGCGTATATCTAGTGCGGCCTTTGGCTGCCTCATCTTAGGGTGGCGAGGACTATATGAAACTAATTCATCAGTATCTACATTATTTTGTTTAAAGTAATATATATATATATATTTTATTCCAGAATGACTATGGTAGTCCAATCGTTTGTGAAAATGTTTTGATGGGAATCGTTCCTCGAAATGGTGGAAAGAAAGCAGTCAACCTAACAGCTGATTATAACTGGATCACAACAACAATCACCGAGCTTTCAGTCACAGTCGTTGAAACAGGAGATGGGGCAGCGGAAGGAAATCAACTATACCTGTTACAAATACTCCAGAAACTAGATGTATTACAAAGAGAACAAGAGTCGAGCACTTCTGATAATCTCACACACTGGAACAATCAAATCGTGGTTCCTCTTAGCTATGTTCTCTTTTCTCTCGTTATTTTCTTTTTTGTTTTACTATTTTTCCTTGTTTTATTTACAGTTGTATTAGTGTATTATAGTAGAAAGTAAATTGTAGATTTATTATCATCTGTAGCAAACCTTTATAGCAAAATACTAACAAGACAATAAAAATTTGTATGATAGTTGTATAGTACAGGTTTTTGTGATCCAAAGTCCCCTTCCCATGGATAAATCAATGGTTCCTAAACTCCTTCAAATATATGTTGGTTCAAAATCAGTTTGCTTTGGAAAGTGTTGATTTTTAATAGAGAATATAGATTTTTGAGCTGAGCCAAGCCTGACCTACAAGCTTGAGGGATCTAGCACAAAGTCTGGAAATTAGCTTGAGCCGAGCTTTTACAGCCGCAATAACATCGCTACTGCAGAACGCGACTGTGAGAATCGGGCCCACACGATTGAAAGATTCACGCTTTTGCCGCGATCGTGGATGTTGACGAGAACATTCCACTGCGGGTGATAATGATGATATTTCCGGGAAATGTTCAATATTTTGCAGTGATTGCGTTAGACAATAATGATGTGTACAAGATTGCGGGAAACGTTCAAGATTTAGAAGACGATACCGTATTAATGTTCCATGACATGCTGGATATTAAGGGTTTTGACGCTATCGCAAAATACAATGATGACATATTTTTTTCCGCAGGATATGTATTGGATTTTGCCGCGATTCTGGAAAAAGATGATTTTTTCATCACCCCAGGAAACTTTAAGATTTGGTCATGATCGCGGGAGACGATGATGTTGTCTACACGAGACTGTAGGAGATGTTCTGGGTTAGGCTGCAATCACGGTAGACGATGATAATGTTTCCGTGACTGCCAGAAGTATTCACGATTTTGCCACGGTCACGGAAAACAAAAATATAATATTTCCGTGACCTATGAAGATATACAGGATTTTGCAGCGATCATGGAAGACAATGATAACGCCGTCCTAAGCCCAAGAGCAAGCTTAGGTGGAAATACCTGTGATAATGTTTTCATTGAAATATTATAGGTAGAGGGGGGTGGGCTTGTGGGTTCTTATCGCTGCCACTGCTATTATAGCAAATAAAAATGGTAACTAAAAATATTTTAACTTTATATTGGAAATAAATTCCCTTTAAAAAACTTCAATAGAACATTGAAATTCTCTGTAGGCCTACCTCTTACTTCTCTGAGCAACTATTTCTTTACTCATATTGGAGAATCATTAAAAAGATATAGTCCAATGCATGGTTAGGCTTCAGTGGCTTGACATGAATCTAATTCTGAGAAGAGATTAATTCTTTTTTATATTTTACTTCTAGGCATTTTATTTTAATCCAAAATTTAATAGGTACCGAGGAGATTTTTTCTAAATATCCAGTATGACAGTTGCCTGAAAATTCATCTGTAGGAAAACTCATATACAAGAACTCTCAAGTTATTTAAATGCTTAACGGAATATTTAAAAACAGTATTTAAATAAAATTAAAGTAGTTATATTTCCCAAAATAAATAGTATAATTTATTGTTTTATTGTGTTCACTTATTAACGTCATACTTCGCTTAACGATTTGCTTGCTTCAAGTCTTCAGATTTCTTCTCAGTTGGCATAGCAACTTTATGCATTTTTTCATCAGCAAATAAATAGTGACATCCGTCGTCCACTGGTTTAGCTTCTGGTGTCGGTTCTGTTTGGAAAGCATTGTGGCAAAAGTTTACTGAAAAAGACAGTGGTTGATTAGAACAACTTCTGAACACATCTAAATAATATTATATGTTTTCTCATAGATTTTAGACAAAAATGAAAAAATGTAAAATGGTAAACTGTTCACAAACTTAAACTTATTACTTAATATATAATTTATTTCATTTCAAGCAAACGTTGCAGCACCAAAATGGTGAACAATAAGAAAGATGAGATTTTTAGACAAAGCTAGTATTCAATTTTAAAATATTTATCCTAAATTAATAATTAACTTATTATCATTATTTGCGTACTTTTATGATTGGTGGACCATCCAATCTCTTCACCAGTTCGATTGTTTTCATTGATTAGCCAATCATGCAGAGGCTGGAAATATTCCAGAAGAGGTCCAGCATCCATGTTTCTTTGTCCAGTGATGGCTTCAAAAGCATCTTGCCAGTGCTTTGACGAACCGAGTTGTAGCATGTCACTGTTGAATTTAAAAACACAAAATTAGTTTATATTGATGATTTAATGAGGGTTTGTTTTTTTTTTTTTTTTGTCTTTACATGCATATTTTAGATTTGTACGATAGAAAATTATCTTTTTGTACCGCAGCAAAAACACATGATTTCAATACATGCATTGCAGGTCTAAAGTTTTGTTTTTCTTGATAGTTAAAATCTTTTTTCCTCTTGAGAGTTAAAATCTTTTATACTCTCTAGGGAGTAAAAATCAGCTGGAGTCGTTGACTTAGCGGTACATTTTGCTAACTTAGATTATTTCAAGTTATCTGTTGTATCAGCTGTTTTCTTTGTTGCATTGTCGTCAAACTGGATTCAAATTAATCTACTTTGAATCTAAGATGACACAAGGAACAGTTTTTTGCACCGAAAGCCCCAAGACATTAAAAAAACGAATGATATATCAATAGTTCAACATTTCGGTATCCATCACAAACATAATCGTACTATACAAAATGATGCAATTTAGTAATTTCAACCTCCATTGCATCTACCCACTTTACTACAAAAGTAATTTTACATAAAAATGTGTGTAAAATATTATGTGTATATCAATTTGGTTAGTACTCAGAAGTATTAGATTTTCAAATATATAATAAACATACAAACCCCATCAAATTTCCAGCCTCAGTACTTTGGTATATATCACATTGATGGAGAGGTTTAGAAGCAGGGTCTTTGGGATTGTATTGTCCAGCTTTGATGCACAGAGCCTTGTGAAATTGGAACTGGATGATGAAACTGACAAAATATCTGGAAATAAAATCTTTGTTAAATTGTTACATTATGATAAACTTATTATTGTTTTCGTGTTCCTGTATGATCAAAGTCTGTATCCATCATTTAAGCTTAATTTGAGCACAGCTTAGATTTTGTAAGGAAATTATATGCGATAAATGATTCTGCTTATGAACAAGATACAGTAATAAACTAAGATTTAAAGATCTTAATGGTAACTCTTGATATCAACACTAACTTTCATAGTTTTTCCTCACCTTATGTAAGGTACATCTGCAATAACATGATATTTTGCCCCAGCATCAAAATCTCTCTCTTTACGATCTACAGGAGGCACAATTCCTTGCAGATCTTGCCTGAAAAATACATTTTCAAACTTATAACATTTTCATCTTGTCATGTAATAAGTTAAGCGTTTTCAATGATGTAAACATGTAAATAAATTATGATTATTAGTTCTCTGCAATTTTAGTTGTGCTTGGATGTAAAAATTATTGAAAACCACAAAAACGATATGATATAACCTCAACACAATTAGTTTTGTATGTAACTTTGTTTATTTGTTGTTAATGATTTTACTAAATTATGTTAAATACTAATTGAACATTTTATTGGTTTGAAAATACACTTATATTCAGTGCTCGATGTGTAAAAAAATGAGGTGCCGGTACTGTAACCTATTTAATGTGATTAGTACCTATTTATGTCAAAATTTTTATCTTCCCAAAAGAGAGGTACCGGAACTCCGCAATTTTAATAGTTCTCTGCAATTTTAGTTGTGCTTGGATGTAAAAATTATTGAAAACCACAAAAACGATATGATATAACCTCAACACAATTAGTTTTGTATGTAACTTTGTTTATTTGTTGTTAATGATTTTACTAAATTATGTTAAATACTAATTGAACATTTTATTGGTTTGAAAATACACTTATATTCAGTGCTCGATGTGTAAAAAAATGAGGTGCCGGTACTGTAACCTATTTAATGTGATTAGTACCTATTTATGTCAAAATTTTTATCTTCCCAAAAGAGAGGTACCGGAACTCCGTTCCCCCGCAAATCGAGCACTGCTTATATTAAAACTGTGTCACAACTAGCTGTGAGGGGATCGGATGACTCGTAAACTTCTATTTTTGCCAATGCAAACTAAGCTAAAGTTGACCATAGCAGCTTAGAGAGAAAATATCCTCTGTAAATAAATCCATTCTCACAACATATGTACGATTCTTTTCATCTATAAAACAAAAATAAGTAAAGGATAGTTATAGTTTCAGAACAATTGTGATCGACTCACCGCAGTTTCCAAAATCGGCAATTGTACTCTGGAGGAGTGATATTTCCTCTAAATACTTCCCATCGCCAAAGGTCAAGAATATATGCAAAGGGTAAAAATGCCACTTTTTCCAAAGCCATCAGGTATAGAGAGTTGATGTCAGTTTCCCTATCTTCAACATAAGTGTCTGGGTCGAGGAGACCGATCTTCATCAAATGTTCAGCCGTAGATACTGAGAGAGCTAGTGTATCGCCAACTGCTTCATGAAAACCTTTAAACAAGATAAATTAATTAAATATTTTTTTGCAATATTATACTTACCAAAATTGTGTTTTTGGTAGGTACTGAAGAGTATAGTTTTTAGTACGACAAGGATTTACATAGGGGGAAGTGTTGACTAAAACGTGGAAATGAATAAAAACTTATTATAAACATGTAAACAAAAATTGAACTAATAGTCTAATGCTAATGATAATTGGTGATATATTGGTACCGTAGTCAAATCTAATCAAGGTTTTGTTTTGAGTTAGTCTTCCTACCACCAACTAGTTAATTTTAGTTAGTTTTGAGACCACTAACTTTTTTCCGATTTAAAGCCATCGTCTTAAATAACATTAAAAATAACTGTCAAAGTATAAACACTAAGCCTACCTCATTTGTAATAACATATAGCTTTGACAATTAAAATCCATCCTTTTTTACCAGAAGTACTGTCAATCTATTCATCTACTAATAATCATACATGTAATTGTAATACAAATACTGTGAATTCTAATTCATTGCAAGTACCTGAGTTGGCTCCACTCCTGAAAACATAGGGTTGGTTCTTGTACTGCTGGAAGTACTGAATGTGTCCCATCTCATGGTGAACCGTTTTTAAGTCGTCCAGATTTATTCTTGTGCACATTTTTATTCTAAAATAAAAAAAGTTTTAAAGAATTTCGATAAAGAAATCATTTTTTATACCTAACCTGTTTCTACCAAACCATCTAGAACCTGCTCTACCAATTCATCTAGAACCTGCTTTGCCAACCCATCTAGAGCCCGATCTACCAACCTATCTTGAACATGCTGTACCAACCCATCTAGACCCTGTTCTAACAAACCACTTAGAACCTGCTCTATTAATTAATATAGAACCTGCTTTACCAAACCCATCTAGAGCCTGCTCTACCGACCCTTCTAGAACCTGATGTTCCAACCCATCCATGGCACTAACAGTTGAAAATCCTTGTACAAAACCACATTGACATACACTAAGGACATGGCAGGATCTGGTTTTAAAACCCAACACTCAAATTAGATTTAAAATTCTTTTTTTACAAACTCAAAAATTACCTGAAATCCTCGCCATCATAGAAGTCCCAAGCAGAAGCATGACACACCATCTCTCGATCTGTTGGTTTTTCAATAATGGATTTGTTCCAGAATGTGTCAGTCATTGCAGTCAAGTTGAGGGAAGTGAAAAATTCTTCAGCCAGTTTAAACATCTTCAATGCAGTATAGTTCTATACAGGAGGAAAGCAACAATTAATTAAGATAATAGTACATATTTTTTATTCAGTCAAAAGTAAATTGCCTTGGTAAACAAATGGTTACAATAGTGCTCGTCTTCAAATCTGAAGATTGTTGGTTCAATACCAATCTAGCGATCTGGGTGATTCTAGACGACGGATTCCATTCATCATTGTGCTATTAATGATGCTATGTAACAAAAAGTTTACTTCACAAAACTGAAAATACAATCTACAGTATATGAGAAAAATCAACTGCAGTACCATAATTATTCTAGAAAGGGGACCATCCCGGTTTAAGACTCTTAAATTAGGAAAATGCTTTTTCCTGAAACTTTTAACTGTTGTATGGTAGTTATTTAAAGAATGAAACATATTTGAAACAATTATTGTGAATAAATTAAATATATGTGAAAAAAATAAATGGGGAGTCGTTGGCTAGGTTGGTAGCGTCACAGACTTTGGACCCATGACAGTGATGTCGTGGGTTCGGATCCTGGCATTAGTTTTATCTATACAGTTCACTGTTGTTCTGTATCGGCTCACCTCTTGATTTGCTGGATACATTCCACGAACAGGTCCTTATAGCTTATGTGGCAGGTTAAAAGAGGCTGCCACCCTCTTATAAATAAATATATATATATATATATAAATACTCGTGTATATGAGGAGTCTGTCATTTAGGGAGAACTCCTGACTGACAAAGGCCGCACTTTTTGATTCATTTTCACAGTTAAATAAATATCAATTTTAAAAAGGTAGCAATGAGCTGTTTTAGGATTTTACCATAAAAGAGTCTTTTTTTTATATTTTCAATCTAGAAGCTAGAACAATTCGCGATGAAGAACATAGCAAACGGAAAAGTTTAAGGAACATAAATACTACACTAAATAATAGACTCATAATAGATTAAAAAAGCTACATCATAATGAAAAAGTCTTTTAAAATATAAGTAATGATAACATTTTTTAAATGCTGAATATTTCTAAGTTTATGATGATAACCAAGCAATTTACCTTGGCTTTCATGGTTGGGGTAACATCAACAGACACTTTTCCTGGGTACGGAACCGTTATGTGGTACACTGAGTCCCACTGTTGTGCCCACATGTTTCCTTAACCAATGACAGACAACTTAGACAAGAGTAGCTGTTATCATTGTAACTAAGCAGAATATTTAACCACCAAATAATGAATTGATAAGTAGATGAATGGAAATATTGCAAATCTTACATATAAAATTAATCTTCTTTACATGGGTTATTATTTTTTCGGAATTAAAATTTTCACGACGTTACTCTAAGGTAACCTAGAGAAAAAAAACACATGAATAACAATGGAAACTAAAGCTAACCAACACAAACTGTAAACTCATATTTCTTTAGCATAACGTTTGTAAAAAAGTGTTGCGAGGAATGCATTTCAAGTTCTTGACAGATTACAGGTAGCTTCACCTTTTGGACTCCATGGATTATTCAATGATAAGTATGACTCACGTTTTCCCTTGTAAACACAAAAATCAAAATTATTGAAAAACGAGTGTTTCAGTCATACACAGTAAGAATGGGTAAAAATTAGCAAAATCACTAATTAATCAGATCCGAGCTCTTAATCTAGAGTGCTGTCTTTTCTTGCCAGAGAGACACTTTAGACCACTCAACGAGTGATCACACCGTATGATCAAGTACACTAACAGTATTGGAAATAAAAATCCCAAGCATAGATGTTCTACGCTTCACTCACAGGTTGCCAGAACATGTCAGGTGTAGCTTTAAGCCATTGTTATTGAGTTTTACTGGCATAGATACTTGTAAGTGGAAGTTTACTCATGATGTTCTTTCTTTGATATATCAGTCTTAGAAGCTTAAAAAGTGAAAATATAATTTAAGTTGTACTTTCTAACCCCTCAAAACCTGAGATTTAAATTTTTAAATACCTACCCAGAATATGAGCAGGTAAATGGCCGCTCTTCTGTATCAACTCCTGTTGATTGGTATTGTGATGGGTGCTCAGTCTGCGTCTGACGTAAGCATGCAGCTGTTGATATAATGGACGGATCTGTAGATACAACTTTTGTATTACATCTTCAAAATTTTCCATTTCAAAGTCTTCAATCCACATTGCAGCATTGTCTGAGAAGTCTGCAGGAAATTCAACACTATGCCAATGTGGAAGATTTAAAATCTGTTGTAGGAATATTGGTGGAATTTATTTTGTAAATTGTTATAAAGGAAAATACTACTTAATGAAATGTAGTAAATAAACATTTTTAATTTGTATCGGGAATGAAGGTGGATCAACCAAATTTGACAATTTTAAATAGAAAAAGGTAAGTAGTTTGTGATAATTAAGATAAGTAAGGTCCTTTCTATGTTAAATGGCTTCTTCATATAATCAACCAGTAAAAATAGAACATAATCTTTAAAAGTAATTCATAGAAGTAGTTTGTGACAATTAAGATTAGTAATGCCCTTTCTTTGTTAAATGGGTTTCAAAATTATCTTTACTGAACCTTAATTTTATGCAAATTTATAACGAAATAAATTTACTTAGAAGAAGACTATACAGTACAAATTTCTTACTGTTCATTTTTGCTGCTTCATTTGTCAAGTTAACATATTCTTCAAAGAGATATTTCACTTTCCTGCCTACAGATCCGTGCCATCCTTCCCAGTAGTATTGAAGTTTGCAGCTCTCGTTGGTGTGTCCAGAAAAAATCTGTACCAAATCTGGAATTTTTTTAATAATTAATGTACTTAATTAGTAGTTTTTTCAATAAAATTTGTATATAACATATTAAATAACACTTTTACGGGTAAGCAGTCCTAACATCATTTATTATTGTGGGTATGTAGGATATTTTATTGACAAACCCATTTCTCTTGCAAAAATGTCTGAGACGCTTACCACTTGGCACTAACACTACCCTAGATTATTGTATTGCTTAACTTGTTTGTGACTTTATTATTTGGTTTAGTAAAGACCTTAATCAAACATTGATTGTGATAAGAATTATTAAAAAAATTTAAGATACAAATATTTTATCTTGATACCTTAATAAAGTGGACATGTATTTTGTAAGAAACCAAAACTTGGGTGCTACAGTAACTTCATTTCACTGATGGTACAATTTACAAAATTAAAATAATAATATATGTTAATTTTAATTAGTTCAAATACAAGTATATTTTCATTTTTGTGGTAAAAGAAAATTAAAAATATCGTGGTAAAGATCATGTCAATTAGATGGTGTGTTGAGAGGGTATTGTGAGAGAGACCGAAAACTTTCATACCATGTCTAAAGATCCAGTTTAAAATACTGCTGGCTCACCTGGCTCAAGCTGAATCATTGGCTCTTTGTGAGTCAGTTGAACAGTGCTACGAGGGTGTCTCCATTCATGAAGTTTTGTTGTGCTGTAGATCTTCTGCATTTCAGAAACTACCTCATCCAGCTAAAACAATTTAAGGATGTAACGTATAGCATAATTGCTAAGGGTTTAAGGATTTTTGTTAGGATGGCAAGCTAACCTGAATTGGAAAGGATCCAATCTTGCTCAAGAATCACAAAACTTTTACACAACTTACCGACTTGAAGACATCTTACTAACTCCAACCTTCCTTGGATGAAAAATGAAGTAATTGAGAGTGAAATACTCTAATATTTGTGTATAGTGTAAGAAGCCATATTATATTATTATATTATGTACAATATTAAACACATCATTAATTGTTACCGTACTCTTTGTTAAGATACCTTTCACTGTCTCAAAGGCATTAGACTAAATACCCCCGCCACAGCACACTGGCAGACAAGGCAAATTTCTATTCTCATCGGATTTGATTTTCACTTAACTATTTCCTTAAACATGTCAGATTTATTCATTTTAACATGAGGTTTAACAAGTACCTTTTCCACTATCCCATTTCTGATGAACTGCCATAAATGAGCAACAGATTGTGTTTACAATGATTGAAAATTTAAAATTTTAAGACGGGCTTAATAAACTGTAGTTAGCTACTAGAAATACTAACTCGAGACCGTTTTTCTTCTGGTAGAGCTGCTGTTCCCAGGATCGAGTGTTTCTTGAACTGTCTTCTTAACAGAGGATCTTGGAAATTCTGCCAATGGAACTTTATCACTTCTCGCCACTGTTCCTTCTCAAAGGCAGCATACTCTGCAGCTAATTTTAACTGGAATCAAAGAAATAGTTTTAATGAAAACAAGAAGGTAAAAGAATGTATAATTATTTATATTTGTCTTAAACGGAGATTTAGAATTAAATTAAATGAGTGACTTAATGAGAAAGGAAGAGTAGGAACAGTACATTGGACAGACTGATAACCCGGGTAGACTACACAGTACACAGTTTTACAACAAACTCGTTCGGAAAAAAAGCCCTCCTGTCCTCGTGCTATACCTCTATATCTATTCAACCAGGACTTTCTCACTTTGCCCGTAAGACACATTGTATTTGTTCTATAACAGAGAAGTAAGGTACAGAGTAAACATTTAATTGGTATATAGCACTAGTTCTGGTATCTAGGGCAAAGTCCAACACCGCCCCCTAGCCATCATATACTACAAAGTTCACAGTGAAGGAAGATCCTGTGTCCTGTGCGTGGAACAGGAATTTACGCAGTGCTCGCCACTCAGGCTCTTCCTTGCTTGTCATAAGTATATTTCCAGCTCAACGAGAGCTGAAAGCGCACGGTCGTCCTATAAGCGTGTTTCTGTACCTTACTTCTCTGTGGTTTTACATAGCAGTACCACAGTATCCAACACCTCTACTATGCAACTACACACGTTTATCTCAGCCACTGTATTTTCACCCTAGTCCCAATATGTCTCAGTTTTACCTTTCTCTGTAAGTTGTGCTCTGTAAGATTGCTCTCGTAGTCCCACTCGACGAGGCTGATGCGGTTTGCCCACGACGCGGTCTCTCTGTTGAGGTAGTCCATGAAGTTACGAGCCTCCACCTCTCCGTCTTGGTCCTGGTCTGGGTTGACACATCCTCCCAGTCTTACCTCCGTCACCAGTGCCACCAGCCACACCCACCTCATGCTTCTGAAACACCAATCAATTAGCGCCGGTGGTTCTTAGAATTATATTAGATTTACGTTTGTTGTTGCCTGAGTTTTTGTAGGTAAGATGTTCGTGTCAACCCTATGCATTTCGCTATATTGTGTTGCGGTTTTCTTGTAAATTCATCTTCTTATTGCTAACACTATGGTCTATAGTTACAAAAATATTTAACAAACGCGGTCACTAGTAACACGGTCTGGTTGAGGGGACAGCAAGACAACCGGCAAGAGGTCATTCTTCCTCCCTTTCATTTCTTGGACTAGGGGTTTTAGCATTTGGCCCTGACTATACCTCTCCCCTTATTTAAGCGATTCATAACACTTGTTTCTTTCATTTACTTAACCCCTCTAATCAAATAAATTGTTGAGAGGTTCTAATAGAGATATGTGTGCAATTGTGCATATCTATGGGAATATGTGACTTCTCATCATATCAGTGATAAAGACTTCTCATTCCAGGGTATGCTGTTATTGTCATTGAGCTCTTTGCTTGTTTACGGTAGTGTCGGAAGGGGCCTGCAAGGGAGTACTTAAAAAAGTTTATATCAAAGCACTGAGCGCGTTCTGGGAACATGTACCGGTGCACCGGTGCAAAAAATGTGTCGTTCTGGGAGACCTAGTGTGAGTTAACCTAGCAGACAGCTATTTCCTCTTTTTCCTCCACCGGTGCAAGATTTATGCACCGGAGAAATTGTAAGGTACATAATACACCGGTGGCCTCTGATTGGCCAGTTTCTTGGACAACGACAACAGCATGCAGCTACGGCAAGATGGCGGGTCCATCGAATAATGTTCATCAGTTTTATAGGTTATGTTGCGTAATGAGTGAACAATTAATTCTATGAGGGTGTTATATTACGTATTAAGTGAATAATTTTCAAATAATTTATTCTGTGAGAACAAGTTTGTTTGGTTTAAATATTATAAAGTAAATAATAGGTGAATGTGTAAATTATAATCCGATGTGTACCTTAAACCGGTGGATAACCGTTCTGGGGTACCAAGACTCTTGCCCCGGGGCGGTACCGGTGAATAAGTCACCGGTTAATCTGCACCGGTGCACCAGTACATGTTCCCAGAACGCGCCCACTATCAAACCCTGAACAAGACATTAATATTTGTGTTTCTAAATTTTCCCAGGGGCATTAACAGATTGTGCATCCCACAAGAGCCCACAAAGTGACGTGGGCACATGAACCTTTTAGCATTCAGTGCCACAATATGAAGTATATAGATTATACAGTGTAAATAAAAGACCATAAGCTACACTCTCTGAAGATACAACTCTCTGTAGCGAAATATAGGCTATGGGAAAATAGTACGTATATGTTGTCTTCAAGAGCAAAAGCTACTACATAAAAGGTAATTGAAACATTATCAGACAGATATTTTCTTTGTGTAGACTTGGGTCGACTCCAGAAGCTTACCTCTGCCTGGACGGTTTTCTTCAGAGCTTAGAACCAATATACAGTACAGTAGCCCCCCCCCCCTTCGCTTCGCTTTCAGAAGTGAGCTTTGGCGTTACCATTAATTTCCGATGCCTTGAGCTGGGTTGTTTCCTGGCTCGGAAATGGAGCATGGAGAAAGGAATGCAGAGAGTGGACTCATCATCTTAGGTAATTTAATGTAACTGTTTTCCTAGAAGCAGAGCGGAATGCCATGTTAATCACTTTTCCGCTCTCCGCGCTCCTCTTCCACGTCTAGGAAAACCCGGCTTTAGCCAGATTTAAGTCCAATGATCAGATGCACATTATAAATGGGCCTGCTGCGTCAGGATCAGGGGTACAAGAGGTTTTAGGTTTGTAAAGGGTGTAAGGAAGAGAACAGTGGCGTAAGTACATCAAGCGGTGCCCCCCACAACAGTACATGTGGATGACAACCAAAACATTACTACTTATGTTTTATTAATTTAGTTTATTTCAGCAAAGCTGTGATTGCGGTAAATCCAAAAATTCTTGCGGACGTTTTTCATCGTCCCTCTCAGTCATGAAATCACCGTTATTGTTTTCCGTGATCACGGCCAGATCTTGAATACATCCTACATTCATGTAGACATGATCATCGTCTCCCGCGGTCATGGAAACTCGTCATCGTTTACTGTGATCGTGGCAACATCTCATACATCATCCGCGATCTTGAAGTCATCATCTTCGTCTCCCGCGGCCGCGGAAATGTCAACTTTTCCCGCGATTGTGGCAAAATCATAAATATCTTCTTCATCTTGAAGATATCTTCGTCTCCAGTCGTCACGGAAACAGCGACATCACACACAATCGTAGTTTTTTCCCATTTTGTGGCAAATTCATTAATATCTTCTTCGGTCTTCAAGTCATCAATTTCATCTCTCGTGGTTAGCACATCTGGAATTCTTAAGGAAAACGGTATACCATGATCTGGTTTAGTATGATAAATATTTATCCATCTTTTTAGATTCTTGTAGATTCAATAATTTATAACATCCACTTAGGCTCTACAATAAAACCAGCTTCCATTTTTCCATTCATAAATAAATATTTTGCTCTTAGCAAAATTATAACACACTGTGTACTGTACTGACACATGTGTATTTACCATGATGCTATTTGATTTATGCACATCATCAGGCTATTTGCATACACAGGAAATAAGAATGGATTACCTTGAATAAAATCAAACACTTTCACTGATAGCATACTGGCTGTTTAACTAAAGATTAAACTCTAGGTCACAATTATTCAAAGTAACACTATTGTAAGGTGTTTCATGTTCTACATGGCATTGAAATGTAAATAATCTTTGTCTTAAAATCCCATTTTAAATACCTCTAGTTGAATATTAATCTTTTTAAAGGGAGAAATATCATTAAAAGATCAACAAACCGTGAATGGATATTTTTCTTTCCTGGATTCTGGATACAAAAAAGGCAGAGTGAAAATTGTATGATTATGAACGGCCTAGGAGCTACAATAGAAATATAAATTATGCCTGAGCTGGATACTGCAGCGAAGTCTTTGATTTCATAATTCCTTTGATATAGTTTTAATTAAAGATGGCGGCTATTAAAATTAGGATATGTAAAGTCAAAATTTTATTATGAATGAAACCTTAACTTGACATTGATAATTGAGACCTCAATTTTGAGTTTGCAACAACTTAAATTTGTAGAAAGTCACAGTCAAATACAATAACGTTTTACTATTTACTTAAACAAAATTTACTTCAAGTTAAGTTTTATTGTGAATTTAATTTTTGATGTATTTAAGTAGGCTTTTTTAAGTTGAAATTTTAAACAAAAAAAGGACTGTTATTGAAAGGGTTTTTGTTTTTAACAAATTAAGATTAGTTTCTAATATTAGAAACATTGGGAACAAATTTTGTCTTGTTTTTTTTTTATTTGATTGAAATCGGTATACTGTGTGTGGAGATACTGATTTAAAGTGTATTGTGGAAATATATATTTGTGTTTTCGGTTATTATTTAATTGACTTTTTTATGTAACATCAAACAGTTTTGTTTGTGGATGGGTGATAAAGATGTGCAAATATAAACTAAGATATTAGGTGACCTTTTGATTCTTAACATAGATATTCTATATTTACACAAAGTCACTAGTTTTGATTCTACCACACAGCTGATTACAAATATATAAACCAAAGAGATATTCCTTCAAATAAACTGCACAATTAAGTTTTCCCCAAAATATAATCAATGGTGGGTGTTTAACTGTTTTTAGTCACACTTCACAGCCTTGAATAAAGTGAACTATCATCGGCTTCTTTCCATACTCGTTTACACCAAAAAGCCGTTGTTTGCAGAAAGGGATCGCAAAAGTCAGCTGGCTGGAGTACTCAGCTGACATGTTTTGCATTTTGCAATAGACTACAACAATGCTATGCTGTCGACGAACCTCCCCCCCCCCCCTACGCGTATAGACTCGTCCGCAACAATGAATCACTTCGATTGACGAGCGCCTACGTGTAGAGCATTGATCATTTACTGTTACTGTTGTGTTGATTGTTTACTGTTTGTTGTTATTGTACTATATTAGGAGATGCATTACCATCACGATTTACAGGGAGTGTTGTGAAATTCCACATGAAATAGGAGTTAAATTGAAAGAAATTTAAATCTGCTGCCTAATAAATATAAAACAAGGTCTGGGTCAAAATAGAGTATTCCATGTTTTGCATGGTGGCAAAATAATCGAAAAATTAGTAAGGTTATGTTAGTCTACATGAATGAGCAAAAGCAGTTAACCGTGTTATTTGTGTAGCAAAAACGATCGTAGGCAACTCACACAGGAACGGTGAGTAAAGTTTCATGAGAAACCAAAACGCCTACTTCCGGTCTTGTTGCGTAATGTACAATTACCAATTACGGTACAGTAAGTTTAACCAACACATTTTTCTCTTCTGTATCCTCGTCCCGTTGCGAAGCACGGGTAAAGCAACTAGTTTCGATGAAGATATTAATTTTTCGCCACACTACAAAGTAAGCAAGTGTCTGTACTCTAGGTAGACCACAAAGTCGTTGGCGTTGGTAGCACAAAGGGTTCGACGAAGCTAACTGGAGTGTGGTAAAGTTACCTCACTCTTTAAAAAAGGCATAATATGAGTTTCTTCTGTAGACCCTGAACCTAATTGAATCCATACAATAAATAATATTAGACATGTTTGGACAGGAATATTCACAATAAATATTGGGAAGGTTTAAAAACGCAATCTTTTTTTCAAAAATAAAATAGTACTGGAACCGTAAGTGGCACTTTCCGGCGCGCGCTCAAGTTTCATCTGTATGGCAACGCTAAGCATGTGAGAGTTATTTTCAAGTACAAGGGGAAGTCCAGGACGGGAATGATAGAGCAAGTCCCGGAAAATCACTTTCGGTACGAGTTATGAATGATCATTTTCATCACAACGCAAAAATAAATAGATACATATTAACAGACCACAGTTTAAGGCTATTAAAGTCGTAAATATACTCTTTAGTCTTTTTAAATACTAA